TACCCTATTCAATATGCCGTTAATAATCAAATTGTGTTCGCCCTTATTAGGTATCACGTATTTGATAAGGATTCCTATTCAAATATCGATACTTGATGTTAATATAAACATTCCCCTAGGAAGGGATGTGCCAGGAGAGAATTAATACAATACCTTTGGAATTTCAATGCGAATTGGATAGGTTTATCACGGTTTGGTTTGTTGAATGGAGAATTGATAATTATTGTAGATATGAGTAAAGTAAGTGTCGTATAAACGAAAGGTTAGTTTTGTTTTATGAAAATTTATAGCTGGCCTTCAATGATTTCTTCCGACACATTTTCTTCTTTATGTTAATCTTGATACATTTCAGATCTTTACGTGATTACTCGTCTGATCGAAATAAACTTTGTGAACTAAATAATGCGAAATAGGGAGTAGGTACTTAATTATCTTATGTAACATTAATTATCTCTATAATGGATAAACTTTATAAAATATTTATTTATATGGCTCATTAAAGAATCACCTTCAAAAGTTTCGAACTCCTGTGTTCTGAAACATCTTCTAAGGTAGAAGGAAAATTGATTCGCTCTCTTATTGATTTAAATTTCACAATGTTATAACTTTAAGCACCGTAAACTTTCCTATAAAGCGATACATAATCCGGCGTTCGATCGAATGTATTTATAATGTTAAGTTCGGCCGAAGTTCCTGTTAGTAAATGCAAACTTGAAATTTCACCCAATATTCCGGTAGGCCGAATTAACCGTCCGCTCCGCACGGTGAGTCTCGATATTATGAGCCGAAACCGAAACGCAAACCCGACGTTTGAACACAGATACCTAATGTTAGTACTTGGATAATTGAATGTGTTTTGGTATGCTTCGAGTATAATGTATGTGTTTCATTACTTAGACTTAGTCATTAATTGTTTATAGAGAGTTTAGTGTTTTGTTTGACTCAAATGTTACCATGTTTGATATAAACTGCTCCACAAAAGTTAAGGAAGTTCGCAAATTTTGCGATTATTTTAAAAGTTACAGACTTTTTGGTCACCAAATTTTCAAATATGCGAAATTAAATGTTTTCTCTCTGAGTGGATATCTGAGATATCTGAGATATCGGAGATATCTGAGATATCGGAGATATCTGAGTGGATTTTTTGCCCCTACCTCTACAACTCATACTAATTTTGGCGATCAAAAAACCTGCAACTTTTAAATTAATCTCAATATTTGTGAACTTCCTTAACTTTTGTGGAGCAGTATATTTCAATGGCGATTTTTTAAGTTAAAGCGGATCGATAAAGTTAGCTAAAAGTAAAACTCTTTAATAAAGAATATCTGAGTTAAGCCAACGCTGCAATGTGTGAGATTAATTCGTACGTCGTAAGAATTTGCGCCAAAATGACTTCCATAGATCACTGAAACCTCCTATTAGAGTAAACTGCACGCCGAATTGCCACCAGAAATACAACATCAGGCGTTAAACGAGTAAACATTAACCTCAAAGGTCAAGTTTCCCAAGGGCAGGATCGCCTCTACCGTACACTGTCGTTTCATCTCATCACTTTGTATGCGTTCATTAATCCACTTGAATACTTCTACCCCGGATCTCATCGGAATTGCAACTCCGGACGCTAAACGTGTAAATGTTAATTCCGAAGGTCGATCAGCCCACGGCCAGGTCGAATCCTGCATTGCATCGCCGCTTACAAGCTTACTTTCCCCGATCCATTTCGATACCAATCATTTGATACCTTTCATTGGTGTAAATTACAAACTGAATTGGCACCGGAATTGCAACTGCATGCGCTATAAACATGTAAACATTAATGCGAAGGTTAATTTGCCCAAGGGCGGATCCACCTTTATCGTGTTGCAGCTTCACTGTATTTCTTCACATATACCTACTGTAATTTTTTTTCTAGAGTAGGTATCTTGATATATGTTTGAATTTTTTTTTAAATTCCCTCTGGCGCGTAGCGTATATTTTTTAATTCACCTTTTTTGCGCGCCCCGCCAGGACCATTGTTTCAAAATTACCACCCAGTTTGTACAGTAATTTATATTCCTGGAAATCCTTAAAATCCAGTTAACGTCCAAAACGAGATGCAGGAAGATACTTCTCGACATTGTGTTCGCGCGGGTGTCGGTATAGGCGAGTCAGCAGTAATCGTAAACTCCCTTTGTTGCTGACGCACATAAACAGGAATATTCTGGCGAAGATATTATCAAAGCCGAATTGTTTGTTCTGCTTTGTATTGCATGCATTTTTTTGTATAATAATGTAAAAGAGGGATGAATTCAACCAAAATATTAGAAATATTGTTTTATAAAAATACAGAAAATATATAGAAAAATAATATTGGATCTTCTAAGAAAACACTATCATAAGTATAGCTCGAGGAAAGTTATGTTCATTCTTGCAAACCATACATATACCTAGTATTGAAAAATATCAATATTATGGAAACACGTAGACGAAAAGACGCTAAAAATTCAGGTGAGAAAAATTCCGATGAAGCAAATTGATAGTATAACGTCCGGCATTTTCCTTTGCCGGTAAAAAAGGCCTGTCAGCCCCCGTGTTTCGAGCGTATATTTGAAAATCAAATATTTTTAGAACGGAATGAAATTGGCGATCCTATCCGATGACGGACCGAACTCTCGCTTGACGAGACAAGGACATTAAATCACGTATAGGAAGTTAATTATATTTTGTGGGGCGCATTGGCAATGGTTCATCGGTCTGGAAATTCAACCCACAGACGGCTTCTGCCGAATTTTCACACTCCAGTTCACCGCAACCTGTTCGTTGCCGCTTTTTTTGCTTTTGATTAATATTTTTATCGCTTGAAAACAGACTAGACGGGAGTCTGCTAGATAGGACGCGTCTTGCAGATTAAATAACAATGAATTGTTATGAATACTAACAGAACTAACGGATGCTAACGGACTCTCTTTTATAAGCAACGAAAAATCCACTAAACTTTTACCTCTATTTCTTCGTCCATTAATCATTATAAATCTTATAATGCAAAAATCAATTTTAATCGAATAATACGTATAATGGGTATTTAAGATTCTAAATTACCCTTCTCTTTTTTAATCCAATTTTCCCTTCGATTCCTACCCGGAAAATCTTTACGCAGCTTTTTAATACTCCGCTGACGGAATTAGGAATGCCGCGTTAGAGCCCCATTTTCATTTCTTTGATGAGCGCAATAAAAAAAATTGCTGCGAAAAAGCGTTTAGCTCTAATTTTTACGACCGTTATTCGGAAAGTAGGCCGCACGATATTAAATTGCAATTGCTTAGAGAGGTTGCCTCTTTTAGAGAAAAAAAACAACGATTCTACGAACTCACGTCGCACTCTAATTAAAAGAACAAAGCCTAATGTTTTTACAATTCTTTGTTTTAGTTAGATACTAATCTCTACAGACCTTTACAATGGATCGAAAAAATAATGATTATGTATTTTTCCATTTAAAAAACTATAAATAAAAATTACATGTTTATGCACATTTTAAACGGTCGTTAGACATGTTATACAACAAATAAATCAACGCTGATTCGTTGCGAGTTTTAATAGTTTTAAGGAAAAACCCGCTGCGATAAATCGCTTCGTGCCATGATTTAACGATTCGTAGTAGTTGTATAGTAACATCTGAAATAGAATAGAATACAACAAGGCGATCTAATATTAGTCGAAATCTCGGAAAAATAGCACGATTTATCTCGGTTGTTCGCACCGTCGGGACAGCCGTTCGTCCAGGTGTTCGTTGGGAATTGTGCACTTCGATATTGGAATACCGACAGGAAAATACGAAGCTTTAAAAGCATTATAATGCAAAAATGGTCGGAAATTGAATTTTAAAAAATAGATCTAACAAGGGTTGACGTATTTTTGTGTACTAGCTGTATGTTAAAGTGTATGTTAAAGATAAGAGATAGCAATTCGTTTCAGTATACAAATTGTCGATTCAATATAACGAGCATGTCATTAATATTTTATACTTATTTTCCTTTAGAAAATATATTACATTTTTTTCTATTCACATTATAATAGATTAGGTACATTAGTTTCTTGAGTAATTGAATTATCGAGACAAACAAATTTGTGATAAACATCTTTACAAATATTCTCTAAATAAATAAAATAAATTTCAAATTGCTTAAAGGAATAAACATTTTTTTTGATATCCCGGAAGTCACTATAATTAATTATAAAAACATAGCAGTTAAAATTATTCTTAAGATTCAAATTTAGCTCAAAAAATTGAAAATCAAATTTTTCACACTGTTGTCAATACGTTTTTATTAAGTCTACGGGTATATTTTTTAACCTTCGGAAAAGCAAATTATTCCCATTAATTTGCTTTCATACGGGTTTATTGAATAAACACGTAATTTATGAATTGGAAACTGCGAAAAGTAGTATGAGTTATCGTGTATAACAGTTTTCCAAAAACACGATTTGTATATTGTTATAAATAGGCGTATAATTATAGACCGGCATATTATACCGGGAAACTTTTCGCCGTCGGAAAAACTCCCGAACGTCAATTTATTTTCCTGGGAAAATGCGAAACCGGTCTTGCGCGACGCTAAAACCTTTTTGATTAGTTCTTTTCGTGGAAAATGCTCGCTTCAACTGAAGCCCCATAATAAATGCCTACTTTTTGTTGCTTTCGCACGATGCTAATGAAGAATAATTAGGCATAAATTAAATGAATATTTTCCGAACACATTTTACACCTTGAATCGGGAGTACCTAATTGAACTCTTAATTAGGAAGGTTATAAATCAAGATTAATTTTTATTGGAAAAGTTAAATTTATTCCCAGCCTGCAATCTCATTCCTAAACAAATGAATCTCTTTGTATCAAACTTATATAAGACGCATTGGCAAATTACCTACTAAGTCTGGGCTTTTTCTGAATATTTTATTGTATAACCTAAATTCGTTGTATATAATTATTAGAAACCTAAAAAATTGCACTGGTTTATTTCCAGCACCAATTCTACCATCACCAGTCACGCTTCGACGGCGCTCCCCCGCCATCACCATCATCAACTTCATCATCTGCGGCACCATCATCGAACAGCCACTGCCCTTCCGCACCTTCCAGCCCATGTCCTAGGATGACCGTGAACTCGCAGTCGGGCCCCCCCAAGTCCCCCCGACCACCCGACGATCTCATCACCACAGCTACCTCGGCTCTGCGGCGGTTCCACTTCAAATCCGGACGGAACGCCACCAAAACCTCCGCCGCCAAGCAACAGGTACTGTTTTAAAACCGCCAGTCCGATTTCTTGTTTGAAATGTCCCCCAGAGAAACTCGTTCCTAACAAATCTTATCTCTAAATGCTTGGTTACAGAGCCAGCCAGTGCCGAAAGTAATAGTGATGGGTAGCAGTACGGCGTCAGAGACCACGATAAACACCAGTACCGATAGTTCGAATACCATTGTAACAACTGTAACGGCTACTGATGGCACCGACGAGAGTCTCGACTACCCCGAGCCGATGGATCTCTTCTCGTGCGACAACATCGCCGAGAACTCCAAGTTGTGCAATCCCGCATTGCCGATGCCGCTGAGTCCGAAAACGCCGGCGACGGCGAGAGAAAAGACGCCGCCGACGGCCAAGAACCAAACGATGTTCACCTTCGAGATAAACGAGGCGGAATCGTCGGCCCTCTTGGAAGACGTTACGCCTAAGTCGAGAACGGAGGAAACCGCGTTCCTGGTGGAGACGGCTCCGAAGCGACCCAAGACGGTCGACGCGCTGATGCAGGAGCAGATAGAGGCCTTGAGGATAGACGCTCGCAGGCGGAACAGCTACAAGCAGGCGGCTCAGAATTTCGACGAGATCGAGGTGATGAGCGACGGGTACTTCAACGCGAACGCCTCCAAGGAACACCGGAGGAGTTTCAGGAAGAGGCTGGAGGTGGATAAGCAGAAGATGGAGAAGACTTCGCCGAAGAGACGAGCTGAGAGGAACGTTAATTCTTCGCCGGAGGAAACTGATTCGCCTAGACCTAAGCATAGGTAAATTTATGCTATCAAATGTTTCGTAATTTTCTTCTTTTTTCTTCTTCTTCTACGCCTTCGATAAAATATTTGTAGGTAGGTCTATAAAAAAAAGCACATTTTTGTACGACTCTCACTTAAGGTGTTGTTCAAATGCAGCTGGCGCATGTCGCATTATGCAAAACGATACGGCATTTTCTTTATCGTTTTTGTGCCAAAAAAACATTAGTAACATTATTTGGAAATTAATGCTTTTAAGAAAAGGGATCGCATTTCGTTAAAATGTTTGCTTTGGATGCGGATCAAGAAAGAACTGTTTGGATTGGTAAATTAGATCTTTGACCAATTACAAATATTTTTCAACAAACAGATATAGAATTTGCAATATCGATAAGCAAACAAGCATGCGTCCCTTCGAATTAACCATTTTTTTTATTTTCCGATTGTTATTTTGTTCCAGAAAGTTGTTTACCAACATACATTAAAAACATATTTACTGATAAAATTTACACAGAAAATCTCAAATTATTCTGTATCAGTCGATACCCTTTCCAATACGAAAATTCCTTTGACTATCCTACCTATACCATGTGTCCAAGGTCGAGCGCTACATTCGTCCGCCGATTCATCGCGCCGAAGTCGCGCCTCTCCACACTTCGACTGATTCTCTCTTTCTACTGATTGCAGCGCTCGAACTTGGACACATGGTATACTGAATAATAATTATTTCAGGCATAAAAAATCCAGCAGACGGACGCGCTCGCCGAGCAAGTACCACCACACGCAAACGGACAAGTTCACCTACGACGACCGGCAGATGCCGAAGTACCGCACGCGCTCCTCCATATCGTCGGCGTCGTCGTCGCGACGCACGCCCCCGCTGCCCGACCTGAGGGTGGACTTCTTCAGCGAAACGGGCGACGGATATTGGCACAAGCAAAACGAGCAAAACTCCTTGCACTCGCTGGGCATCGCGACGGGCGTCTCGGGCGAGAAGAGAGGCAGCGTGTGCTTGACCAAATGCCTAAGAGAGGTGAGTACCGATTGAATTTCTGATGTACCTATTTACTTTTTTATGTAGGTAGGTATTTTTGGAATGAGTTTTCGTATCTAGTAGGTATATTGAAATTTTAGTAGTAATTGGATAAAATGTAGCGGATGAAACATTTCATGTTTGTTATAGATAATGGGAATTCCAAATGATTTTGTTGGTTAAGTGGTCGTTTTCAAATAATGAAAATTCGTATATTGTAAATAAATTTCTATTATTGAAGTTGTGGGTTATGGACCTGCCGATATAAATATAACAAACTATTTGTATTTTGGCCAATTACAGAACGAATAACCAGGAATTCGTTAATTAAAATTAAATTTACCGTGAAAACTCGGTCGCGAAAAGTTCACGAAACATCCAATTATACCAACAATTTTTTAAACGTATCCTGAACAAAATACAAAAAAATTTTACTTGGAAATGTACCATTCGTCTTAATCAAAACCAGGAAGCAATAAACCCAGTCAATTTCGAAGATCCCAACGTTCATTACAATGCGAAAAACAGATAATCACTTTCCTTGTTAAAACTTGTTTTCGCGCCGATCCTCGAACGAGACACATTACTCCGACTTCAAAGGATCGTTCAGAAGTTGGTCGTGCTCGTTCATAAGGCGACGCTCCGCATACCTTCGGAGGTCGAACGGATTGAAATGAAAACGTCAGCGCCACGACGCCTCGGTCTCATGCCATCGACCGGATCGCCCTTTGCTAACCCTTCGACAACCGAAACGAAATTCGCCAAACAAACCAGACCGAAACTGTATGTTTTGCAGGCATGTTTGCGGAGTGGGCTTCCCATCGGTCGCATGAATAAGTTGAAATTAGTGTAGAGATTTTGGAAGGGTGTGATTTGGATGTTGCAAATATGACTGTTATATTGATTTAACAATGTACCCTTTATGCGTACGAATTATTTCTTTTAATAAACGTTATTGAATTAATTATGACGAATCGATTGCGTTTGTTGATTTTTCGGAATGGGAGGAGGATCGCGGAATATCCCCCATGAGATTTTCTCGAGCCAGTTCTATTTATTCAGTTTCAGACATGTCTTATTAGCTGCACTCACGCGTTCATCGTGACACACCCATACGTGATATTACGAAAATAAAATAGAGAAATACTTGGCAGTTGTTGCGAAGACCTAGGCATATAAATTTTTCGTTATTATAGGTAGGTAGCAGCCCGTAAATTCCAATCAGTGCATTTGATCGATTATTTTTAATTAAAATGAATTGTATTTTCCAACGGGTATGCCTTGTAAAATATTTGACGTCCGTTTCAAATTTCAAACGAGAAATACAGGTGCCTATATCCCCTGAAATTTTGATTAGCCCTTTGAACAACTTTGTAAACTTTATGAAGTTATAGGTATAGCGTACCTAAGTATAAGAGAAAATTAATTATTAGATATTTATTTAACCAGACATTACTTTATAAGTTTCTCTCTTGAAAATTAAATGACTTTTGAACGAAAAGTTTTGCGAGATTGTGCAGTTTGTTGTGAAAATTTGCACAAAATGCATCTATTAAAAAAAAAAAGAAAATCAATTACTTTAAAATAATTTATAACTCAAAATTGAGTGACAGTTAATCAATTAATTTTTAATTAAAATCTGTTAAGTGTGCTTTTTGAATTCACCATTTTAAATAACTTTTATATCCACAATACTAGCTTACATGACTTCATCGATATTAGTTAACGCGTGGCGTTTCCTAATAGATAATTTACTGTTTTTTTTTCGTACAAACCAACTTTCCCATTCACTCATCGCCGAGATCGCCGATTAATGATGATCCGTTTTCGCGCGTACAGGTGGGCGCCCACTTGGAGCAGACCTGCACGTCGCCGATCAACGTGACTACGAATCCGCTGGACCCGGCTCATTTCGCGGCCGGCGGCAGCGGCACCAGGAAAACGCCTCAGGCGACGATAGTCGTCCAACAGCCCTCGGTCAGTTTGGATCACGCGAACGTGTCGACTATACTGCTGAAGAACGAGAGCGATTTCGTGTCGAACGTGCAGGAGGGCGCCAACAAGGGTCGCCTCAAACGCGAGGAGAACATGAAGCAGCTGCTGGACGTTGCGCATAATCTTACGTTGGAGGAGATGCACGATTTCGAAATGAGGTGAGCTTGTTTTGAACTTTTTATAAACGGTTTGGGGAGTTTTAAGATACAGTTTTTCCAAAATCAGTTCAACGGGGAATTTAAATAATTAAAGGTATAATACTGCGGATTTATCGGTGAAGTCTATAGGGAAGGCTTATTAGTGGATTTTTTTGTAATATTTAATGGATTTTGGAAAGGCTATAACTAGATTCTTTTGTGAGGCAATACATGTTCGATAACAAACAAACTGTGAAATAATTCTTAATTTGAAATTGCATCAATGCATTTAGAAAAAAATAAAAATTCTGTAACATAAATATTTACATATTCAACAACATCCATATACCGTGTTGGAAAATTTTTCGCGCATAATAGGGAAATCAATGTTAAATTCTTAGCCGGCTGAAATCCAATCTACCAGTGTACATTTCAATAGAACGTCGCGATCAATTCTAATAAATTTAATTGTTCTACTGGACTTCACACCGCGCTTTGGCTTGGTTAGATTAAAAATCAAATAATTTCGACGGTTTCGACACTTCGACAGTATCAAAACGGGTTCGGATGGGTGAACGTTGAGTTGATTAAAAAGAAATGAGAATTTTCAAACGATAATTTATTGAAAAATTATCACTAATATTAAAATAGAATTATGTAGATATGTCTTTTTGCCACAATGGCTTGAAAAAGAAAGTAAATTCTAAGAAAATAATAAAAAGAATAGTCCAAAAATAAACTTAAAGATTATTTTAAAATAGAAAATAAAAGAACTCTAAAAAATAGTCCACCGCTTTCTGCTAAACAATAGCCAAACCTGTCATACAGATGTCATCTCATATTACTGAGCTGAGGTGTAATTTTAAGAAAATTGAATTATTTTTTCCTTATTTTTCCTTATTTTAACAAGATTTGTTGCTATTTCAAAACTGTACCTACCGATACACACATTTTTTTGAAATATCCCCAAAAAACCTATTAATTGTAGTTTCTAAATAATTTTGTACCTCATACCTAACACAAATAACTTTGTACCTCTACAAATCGCGGCGTGCGGTCCAGTAGATCAATTAAATTTATTAGAATTGATCGCGACGTTCTATTGAAATGTACACTGGTAGATTGGATTTCAGCCGGCTAAGCATTTAACATTGATTTCCCTATTATGCGCGAAAAATTTTCCAACACGGTATGACACGCACGTATGCTTCAGAAAAGCAAATATATCAAAGCTTGGGGGTGCATGCATTTCGGGCGTTTGAAGTTCAATGTTAAATAATGAAAAAGAGTTTAGGTACGCAGGGCATTCGAATACATACACGCACGCATTCACTCATACAGAATCGTTGGAGCGTTGTATTCTAAAAGCCTTTAAATCCCTTTTCGAAAAACTCGAACGAAAACAACGCGGACATTATTCAGAACATAACAAGCATAAAACCCACTTCGCATATTTTAACGTAACAACACACTGACACAGCTAAAAAGGGGCTCTTTACTATTTAGCATCGGTTGTTGACAAACTGTTTACATAAACGTATAGTTTTTGCTCGTACTCCATTACTCAAATTCGTCGACATTTAAACAGTTTGACATCAATATAAATTGTGCCTATTTATCTAGGTAATCTTTCAGTACATTAAAATTAAAAGAATAAGTGACCTATGTGAACAGCTTTAAATATTCGACAGTAAATTTTTATATTAAATTTTCAAGAGATAAAAAGCTCTTTAAGTATACACATACAGAGTTGTCTTAAGTAGACACAACTCTATTTTTGTCTCTACAAAGAAGTTGAATTTCAAAGAAAACGACACAAAAACTCTGTAAGAAAGTTGGATAAGAAGAAAGTCAGTTTGGGTTTGAAATTTTAAACGAATTCTGTCTCTTGCGCTTTGGTTACAGTCTGTACCAGGATCAATGGGTTACAGAGAGAAGTGATTTATGCGTTGATATGTTGGTGTTCCGTGTCAATCAACTGCTAGTGTGCTGACTGGCGTACAAAATAGGTTAATAAAATCTACGTAAGTGACGTTGAATAAAAATGATAGAGCATACACATATTTTCGGAAATTTAATTACAAAGGCGCTATATGAAAAATTCAATGTGGAAAATTACGGGCAAATTAATTCGTTTCTCTCGCCTTTTTGATGGAGAGAAATTTTAGCAAAGGGAAATAAAAATTCCTGTTTATCGTTTCAACGAAAATAAACCAACCGAGAAATTATTGATTTTTCGTTTGTTTACATAATTAACAGGTCGTTTTGGTCAAAAACGACAAAACAACAGAACTTCCAGAGAAGTTGGTCGTACATCAAAAGAAAAGACGCGATTTCTCCTTTCAATAAACACATCGTTTTTTGATCTTTTAATAGTTTATAATCTATCCGTTTATTTTCGCAAGCGTTTTCGATTTTATGACTTAGGTATTTATAATTACGTTCGACTTGTAAATCAGAAATATATGTATATGCGCTTTCTTACGCATTTAACCGATAAACACTTCTGTTTGTAATAGGAGATAAAAGCACCATTACATTCGTTAAGTTATTGATAGCAGGCTGCCAAAACGCATCGCCTTTGACGCAATTTCTGCGATTGTTTGAGCTTCCATTCGGAGGAGCTGTTATTCCCAAGGCCGAGGTTACTGCAATGTCGAACGGGATCCTAGCAAAAAATCCTTAGTTTTTCATAGTTAAATAATGTGTCTAGTCTAGGAAAAAACGCTCCATTTTTTACTTCTCTTGCAATATAAACATACAGTTTTACAACGACGTCCATTTTAAATATTAAAAGGGAATCGGGACAATTAAAAGGATACCTAATTGGAAATAATGTTTAAATTACGGAGTTAGGTTAGAGACAAGGTCGTAAACGCGGACAAGGGTTAACTACCTGGCCAAACTGCCTTCTGCTCGGTCGGCTATGATTGAAATCTAATCGTTGAGTTGGAAAATAACGTTCTGATTGAGTGGCAGAAAGGACTTTCATTAGAGTCGATACTTCGAATAATTGCGCTTTAAGCAAAATCGTTTTGTTTTCGGTAGATAAAGGGATGGTTTAGAACTATCGGTAAAGCTTCAGTTTAATGCTACAGGAAATTTTTAACTTTTCACTTCAGGGAGTCAGATTTTTATTGCAAAATTTATATCCTCTTTTTTTACCTTCATCACTTTGATTTGTAGCTTCCTAAACAGATGGTGGATTAATAGAGGCAGGATAGTTATATTAGTTTTATGAAAATCCCGTCTGGATTGTCGCGTAATTTTCAACTTACGCAACAATTTGCGTTTATATTTACATGACACTCTTTCCTATTCCAGGAACGCTTTCGAGTAAAAAAGTAATTATTTGTATTTTTAAATATATTAGTCGTTCTTCCTGAGAAATGTATTTTTAAAGCGGACGCTCCGCTGTGATATAACCCGATTGGAATCGGGGCTATGCAAATATATCCGAGATAAAAATTCGTGTAAAACCTGCCAGATATTCGCGTACGTTGACCTACAAAGTGTCACGGCGTTTTGACGTTGAAACGTCTGGATGTCGCTTCGGTGTAATTATCTCATTGTATTAAATTTTATCGATTTGTAAACGTGACTGACAGGCTGGATCGGTTATTTGATTGATTTACAACGAGTTTTGCAAATTGCGAATAATTAAATATTGCTAATATTTTGTGGGCCTATACACCATTTTTCTTCTTTTGATTTATTTCCTCAAAAAATTTACTATTAGGAATATAACGTTTTTTTAATTAGATTACTGCATCTAATAATGAACATTTTTAGTTTGAAATCCATTTTGCATTAGACAATAATTTTGACAGAAGGATTTTTTAAAAAATTTCAAATGTTTTATAATACTGTAGCAATTACATATTAATGCGATTAGATGTAAAAAAATATGTAAATGAATATATGTATTAAAATTAATATTTTCTTGAAAAAATTAAGCTTTTTTTAAATATATGCAAAAGCAAAGCTATTAAAAGACCAACTTTTTGAGTAATCAAAATATAAAAAGAGTCTTTTTGGAATTTAATCCTTGGGCATGCTACACAGTATATAAGGAGACTTCCTTACACAAATGGTAGCTCAGCATTTACGAGTAAAAAAAATAAAAAAACTGAATACATTTTTGTTAGAAGAAATTCAAACACAAATGGAATTTCAAAACGGCTTTCAGTTTTACTTTGGGTTGTTTCACAAAGCCATGTTTTTGGAATAATGTCCTTTAATATGCTTTTCGTTCTTATGTTTTTTGATTATTATCCTTTGTTATTTTTCGGTCGAATTCTATTTTAATGGAACATTCGTTATAATTGAAAACGACATCGGAAGACAAACTGTCTGGACAAATTTCTAATTAACTAATCAATAGAATGTATTTCGTGTTTTGGGAAAATTTACACATGTGGCTAATATTCTATTTAAAAAGATCCAAGAAATCCAAATTTTTAATTTCCTTAAAATTTCGGTGTCTCTTCCTAAGTTTTTCATTTCTACAAAATCGACTGAAACGTTGCCAAAATTCATTTTCCGAATGCCCCGGTTTTTCCACGATTCCAATTTATTAACTCGACCACTTTTATTATTAATTTTCAAAATTGTCGGCTCGTTCTGCGAATTTTGACGACAAGCCGTGTGTGTTTTTCTATATTTACATCAAAAGACGCTCTGTCTTCAACCAACTATAAAAGCCATCATCGTGTAATGTTTCGCTTATTAAAAATTCTTTGATCGCCGAACAAATGGAAACTAAACTTTTAATGATTGATGATGAATGGAAATTCAATAATAAATCATAATTTAATGGAAATGTGATTTATAATTTAAAAAATGAAATGTTTGTATACATTTTCAAAATTCCAAAATTTAATGGATTATTAGATAAATAGTTTGAAGTTACTAGGTATACAGATAATTGCAAAGTTGTACTCAATATGGTCTATGGGTGCAACAAAGACATCATCTTCCATTAGTTTTATAGAAAGGAAAAGGAAAGAGCGATATTGTGGGATTACAACTTTCTCACTACAACCATACACGGTTAATTTAATAATCTTTCTTTGTTTAACTCATAGAATCGGCCATTTTACAAACAAATCTGCGCTTAGCCATATGTTGACACACAATGTTTTAAATGATATTTGAATTTCTATGATAAAAAATAAAAGTTTGATTTATGATGTGATACCTATTTTCATAAGATATTAGTGCAAAAATTAATCAAGCATTTAATATAATTATCCTTTAATAAAAAATATCACAATTACAATAATAATTTCCGCTTGAAAACATCAATAATCAAAATATAATTGCCAATTAAATAGAAGGATGTTTCAATCGACCTATAATAGAAAATTCATTCATTTATTAGAGAACGCATTGGAGCATCATTTAATATTGTTTTGATTAATCTATTTGCAATGTCCCAATTTTGTATTTAATTTAGTTAACAAGGTTTGGAATCAGAATTGAAAATCGCCTAAAATAGCTATGTTATTCGGTACTATGTCGGTACTAAATTTTTAAATTTATTAAAAATGTAAATTAATTTAATGAAAAAAAAATTAAGAAATTAATGTTTTTTATCATTTAAAAGTGCGTGTAATACCTAATTTATTATAGGTATATCAAAAATAAATAATTAGTAAATTTTCAATAAATTTCTTTAGTAATAATGAAAATTACTTTACATATACCTAGAAGTTTCTACAAAATAAAATTAATTTATTACAGGTAGTATACATCGTAAAGAATTCAAGTTTTGTATTTTTATACAGCAATCCTTGATACATATAATACAAAAATAACATTTTTAGAATATTCTTGCTGCACGGTAAAGAGGGTCAAGGCCCTATAAACAAAAAAAAACAATCACACAATATCGACCTCGATCTCGACGTTATTTATCAAAATATTTTGCGTAGTTTTGACAATTTTCCAATTTCCAGAATTAATTCCCTCTCGAATTTCGAAAAACGAGATTTATTCGTTCGTCCACAACATAAAACAAATCTCAAGTAGTGTTTATTTATACACTTTGCAACTTATAAATAAGACGGGTCGTATTTATATCGGATCTAAATTTTCCCTCGAAACACACGGGATAATTTTAGATTAACAAATCCGAAAATAACGCACCATTATTGCAAGACCTGATCTGATTTATTTGTTTGTTTTCTTGTCGTGTACGCGGATATCTCGAAAATGCGACCGAACATTAAAACAGTATGTTCAATGAAAGAAATGTTATCCAATGTTTTTTTTCTTACACCTAGTTAATTAAAAAATATCTATATGTATATCTATAGGAGGAAACATTTATAAGGTTCATTATATTTTGAAGAAGCGTAAAAAAATAACAAAAGTTCTTCGAATAAGATTTAGTAAAATAGGCTACTCCTATATAAATGGTGTGAAACAGAAATGCTTTCCACTATTACTAACTGAATTTACTCAATGTGAAGTCAATGTAAAGTAAAAGAACGTTTTGAAATCACATTTTCCAATATCATTATTTAAACCCTTTGAGACATTTTCCTTTGATGCGTGAATTTTCTCCAGTCAGTGCTTCGTAAAATGCAATTACGAACTCAAGCATTCAATACTTCTATACAGACGAAACTTTTACCATTTATCTATTAGAAAAATATTTACAAACATAAATATTCCCATTTATACTACTAGATATTATTATAGACATTCATTTTACATAAATTAAAATTAAAATGATCTGTTTCAGATACGGAAGTCCTCATCACAACAGGTCACAATCTGTGAAAACTCCGGGCCGCGCTTCCGGCAGGCCGAATTACTTATGCCTGCCACAGCAGCGGTCCAGAGTGGCCTCCATGCCGAACACCGGAGTGGAGGAAGAGTACTATCGCTTGAGGCATTTCTCCATCACCGGAAAGGGCGTAGTCAACAGAGGAGACAGCTTGAAAAGCAGAAGGTCGCGATCGAATAACTCCGTCGCTTCGAGCAATTCGAGGTGAGTTTTTTGCGATGAAAAAGCCGACTTTTATGTATTACGTACATATCGATGTACTTCTGAATGGAAAACCGGGAATTTGCAGGTATAAAATTTCACTACGAGAAATGAACACTTAGCTTTATCTACTTAAAGGATCAATAGAAAAACATCCGGGAATATCTCCGACTCCATTCGACTTTCTCTTTGTGCGTCAGCGAATGGCAGGAGATAAATTTTCCTTCCGCGAACGGAACAAACAGAAACACGTAAAGAGTAGCTGCAGGAGGTAAAAAAAACCGAGTGGCGTCCACGTTCAATTTAATTCTAGTAAATAAAAAGCAACGAAAATGCTAAGAGGATTTACTGCCTGGAGATTTACAACCTTGCGTAGTAGCCTCTTATTTCGCCGTAAAGAAAGAATTTTTAATGTAGGCAACGACTGCCTCTTTTTGTTTTATGCTAATGCCGACTTTTGTTGGTTTAAATTTACTGTTACAATAAAACGTTGGTAAGTGGTAAATTGAGCACGAATCGTCTCTTATTTTATCGGATTTTTATCGCTTTTCCACCCAAGGACGTGTATAAAAATACTCGTTCAATTCCAGTTAATCACATCGTTATAATATTGACTATTCGGAAATATCAAAACATCGTTGTCACACAACAATTTCAGTTTATTAGGTGTTTTTTTTTCATGTCGTTAGCTTAAACTTCTTACTTTTACTATATCATTTTGAAATTTTGGAAAATAAATGTCGGGGAACATCAATGGAAATTTATTCTATTAATCTTCGGTGTTTTCTTTTATTCATTATAATTGGAGACCCGATTTAAATAAAATTTAGTATGCACATATTCGACATACATAACTACTCATCCTGCAATGTGTATTATTGGCTTTAGAGCCTGTATGCGTACACCAAAATTTTAAAAAACGATCATCTTTCAATTTACATTTTAATTTTCGCCCATCCACTCCATTCTATTAGAGTCCCTAATATCTCTTTAACTATTGAAATTCGTTTAGGAAACAAAGGAGCGCCCAAATTGTACCTAGTGGAAAACTTTCGCAGTTCCCAACAATTTTCCGAAGGAAAGTTGCCAAGTATATTAAACTTTAAGGTAAACGCATAGGGCTGTAATCACGAATCAATTAACATTTTCGAAAGTTGTCGATTCTCGGAAGGCGTTATTACGCCAACGTTTGATTCGCTTCCGACAAATTGGCACTAATTATATTCGATTATCGTAACTCGATGCGCAATATAATATGTATATGTTCTCACTAGGGATGGATTATTTCTTTCAAATAACATCTGAATTTAATTAAAGGAAAATGGGCTATGAGTAATATAATAATACATATCAATAGCATATTGGTAAATATCAAATTACCTAATTAGATGCGTATTTAAAAAAAATTATTGATCAACGAAAATTGAACACGGGCATATAAACGCAAAAAAAAATCCCGAATGCTCTTTCAAATGCAGGAATTGGAATTTTTGAGAATACCTTCTAAACTCCCGCTAGATTCATAAAACTCAACGAAAGAATAAACTGAATTTCAATTTAACGCAGCTCGACATTTTTCAGATGCTAAAGCATTTTGTAAAATAGCCCAAAAACACGGAAAAATGACGCCGAACATCATGGAATTACGCCGAACGTACGAGCTCGATCGGTTTTGGTGAAAAACAAATCGGATTAACCGAAATAATTGATTCTGTCACGCTTTCGTAATTCGACAATAAAATGTAATAATGCGGACGCTGGCGAAATTACTAGGTAGCCGCGTGTGAAAATGACAGGACGTCGAAAATAGGCGCCACGATGCTTTTTGTTCGGTCTGTTACATCCACTTCGAATCGTTAGATTCGCTAACTGGAATAATAGTAGGTATTAATAACTGATACATGTCGTGATGTCCATGCGTTTAATTACCTACATAATCCAGCATTTATCTACTAAATGATCAAGATTGACAACAATTCCTCCGCCATTATTTAGACTACAAAATTTGTTTGAAAATTAAACTCATTTAATTTTTAATTTCGACAGGATAAAGTACATCTAAATTAGGCATCGCGTGACTGGAAATTCTTGTAAAAAATTTGATTGTAGATGATAAGATTAGTGTCATTTTGATACTATTATCAACAATTTTCTACTAAAAATATATGAATTAATCTATTCGCGTTCCCTACGCCATTGATTATATTCACAGAAGTATAGTGTAAACGACAATATATCCTCTTGTACAATTAATTACGGAATACACTAGGCGCTACCTAATCGTGTAATTAAAGTTACATTTTGTCGTTACCTCTGTTTTATGTTAAGTGGTTATTGATCCGTGTGCGACAATATAGACAAACACACCGGAACGTTAACATTATTAATAACCCCGTACAAAAGTCCAATTACATTTTATGAGGGTGGACGGTTGGACTAACGAAATTAAAAATCAAAACCGGCATCGCCTAAAACAAAGAGCTGTTGTTAAATGGAAAACGCGCAAACTATTCAAAATAATAAAGCGATATTAATTCCATTAACAGCTTTCGTACCTTTTATTTCATGTTACTCGCCGATACATTAAAAGTGGACGTTCCAGGAAAGAGCGAATATAAAAGGGTGTATTAAATTGTGTTTAGAAAATGTATATCAATTGTATCGATGTGAATGCTGCCCTCAGGATACCTGCTTCGTTTAAATTGAGTTGCGAATACAAACGGCTTGGTTTTGTTTCCTATCGAATCGATAACGCCAGTGATGGATTCGATTCATCTCGAAAATATTCATTCTTACTGGAATAGCACTGTTTGATTCATAAAAATTAGGTTTAAAGCTAATAAAACATATGGTGCGGCATTTAAGAATATCTAATTCGTTATGATATCATTATGATGTTAATTGAAATTAAAAAAAGTGATGAATATTAATGAATGAATATAAATGATGCAACTCCAACCCTGTTAAAGAACAGTTTCGAACGTATATGCATTTAAATTTATTTAGCCTTGCGAAACAACCGAATGTTATTAAAATATCTGCACCAAACATTTACTATGTCGTTTTTCAAATAAAAATCTATTTAATTTGATATTTTTGGCCTCCACCAATATATAGAAAATTTCTTGAATTTATACCGGATAATACATACACCAAAATTTGAATTTCAAATGCAATTTCAAATGCATCATTTTGAAACACTACCTAATGTTATTTAAACTGTTATATTAATCATTCATTCTATCGAGTACCTGCCAAAAAAAAAGAATTTTAATTTTTCAATTGATTTGAATTTATTCATCAAATTAATGTATTCCTTTAAACATGCTATGTAAGGAAGCGCATACACCAAAATTTGAATTTAGAACAAATGCGGACTAATTTGATTCCATAAAGTGTAAATTACATTACTTAAACATCAGAAGGAAACTAATTCTAATATTACATAAAATCACTATACAGCCATAAGCAAATGAATTATAAACCTTCCGAACGATCAAACGTTCCCGTCTCCGGAAATAAACTATACCTACGTATAGACTTCAACCGGCTTTAAAACCTATTTATAGGGAGTTTCTGTTTAGCGATCGACGAATTACTTCCGCGGATGTGAGCGTACGTTTTCCACGGAACACTCGGTATCGATTCGGGCGTTGAAATTCTCTGGCATTCTCGACGGCTACGTCGTTGGGCCACGAGTCAGCTGAATCGCTCGTTTTTCATGCGAGATTCGATTTTAATTGCAAACGAGCCGCTAGAGCGTCCGAACGCGTATGCTGTACCTATAAACGAATTCGGGGGTGAAACGAGTGCTTGGTCGAATAATGTTGAATTTCGTGCTGCAGAGGAATTTCAAACAGGACGCCGCCGACGCTATTTTCTCAGACAGGGGCATACCGTTGGCCTGTGTACAGGCGCACCTAGCGAGGTAACTTTTAAAAAAAAAAAATAATTACCCCAAAGGTGTATTTTCATTGAAGGGTGTAGAATATTCGATGCGCGGAATATATTTATTACAGATGAATTTTAGTTCAGATCAAATTGCTATAGGTACTTTAAATTGTGTAGATTTAGTTACCTATTTTTAATTATTTCAATTTTTAACAATGAATTATTTATCTACTTATCGTTGTGATGTGTTTAAGTTTTCATGACGCAAAATTTCGAAATATAAGTAGCTGCATACTAATTATATTCGCGGATTAAATGTACATTAAATTAAAAGTATTTTTGGAAAATCGCATTAAGATATAGTTTTTATAGCCCATTAAAATTTCGTTGCGATCGATAAAGTTGCATTATTTACGTCCCAGTCTCGGTTCCACTTTTAATTAACTGATATTTTGCATGCAGGAAGGATCGATAGAATATATTATTCCATTATGCACTTTTTGCATACAAGTCAGCATAAAAGTTTTATGCAATTACCGATTTCGGCTTAATTAATATTGTAATTATTTTGCTCTCGTAAGCAATCATTTTGTGTTCATTTATGGAATCCTATAAACGTTAAAAATTGAGTTCGATTTTATTATCACCGTATGAAAAATTTCGTCTGCGTGTATAATTAATTCTACAGTATTTGGGACATAAATTTTGCTACATAAACCGTAAAGTATGTTAATAATTTAAAATAATTTTCTCTGTTACAGCACTGAACAATTGCCAACGGCTGTGTCTGCGGCTGGTTCCGCACGAACGTCGGCATCCTGCAGCCTGGCGTCTTCCAGAGAATCCTCGACGAGCGCCCCGGGGCCCACTCCTTACAAGGTGTTAATGCTGGGCGGCCCTGCGGTCGGAAAATCCTCTCTAGTTTTACAATTCATGACATCCGAATATTTGCACGCGTACGACACTAGTATAGGTGAGTAGAATACACTTCTCACATTGATTCGTCTATATTTTTTTTATGTTGTTTTTAATTAAAATCCGTCCCTGTCCGTTCCCTTCGTGGTTGAATATAATACTTTCTAAAGCCGCTTTCAGTATTTATTCGAACTGGCTGGAACAATACGGCTAGGTATTGTTGTCAAAGGCTTTGTAGGACTCATAAATGAATCGGGATCAGATAAACTGGTTAAATTTTCGTATACGCTCTGAGTGTAAATTCTGAGTCTAATTCATTGTTCTTTTTCCTTGGAATATACAAAATCAAATAAGTCACGATAAGCAAATCTTAACATTTCAGCTTCTCATATGGAAATTATCAGCTCTGTTCCATACTGTTTGTTATTGCAGTTGTTTATGCGCTCCAGGAAATATATAGCAAACCAAACAAACTCGATCCTCACTGAAAGTATGCGTAATTAAAATGTGTTTTGGAAGCTACAATGTTACAGTTCGATAGAAATAACAAAATTGTTATTTGTGAAAATTTCTCTTTATACTTTTATTTAGCGAAGTCACTGGACCAATGCTAAAATTTGTTCAATTAATTTTTTGTATGTAACATTTCATATTTTGGATGCTCTCGTTTTATTATAGAGCCCTTTTAACATCATTAATTTCGTTTACTAAAGTACCTACCAAACATATTTGAATATGTACATAGTTCAGTGATGTCCATCAGAACTTATGTCGTATACATACAAATGAACCGTCTGACAGTGAGGCTAATCCGAAGCCAAAAATTACTAGGGATAGTCTGCGTTCAGTTTACATTTCAGTTTTAACGAATTACGTGCGGAATAACGAGGTTAAGCGCCTGTAAAGGGCTGACGTTCGGAGGTTTGTGCGAAATAAACCTTAAGGCGACTCCCTACTAATTACATTCCATTTGATATAGTATGGTACGTAGGACGCATATTTTATTAAGTTACATTTAATGGCTTTAATTATTGGAGAATGGAGGGAGTTCAATTGTTAGAGAGCACCCAGCATCACACATCGAATTAGTTCGATAATGCGATGTTATCTAACGTTGAATAATTAGTCGCGGTAATGCAGTTTGGTTCATGCCCTTAATAGAGATATTCTCCATCAATCTGTGGCAAATTTATGAAAATTAATACCTTCATAACCGCCTGATGCAGGTAATAGTCATTTTGAAAAAAACAAATGTATAACAACCGATAAAATCCGATCCTCCAATCTATATAGACGCTATTGGTACACCGAACAAGTCGTATATTTCGTCATAATCCATTAGTTTCCTCTTGGATATACAGCACAAATTGCCCATCGCTCGCAACGAAAAATCGATTAACCACAGCTTACAACTGCAATGAAAACCTTCCTCGAAAGAAAAATTCAATTTCCAATTTTCTCCTAGATTGCTGACACTCATTGCTTTTTTTTTCAGATGACGAGAGCGGTGAGAAGTCTGTGTCTGTTCTATTAGCGGGCGAGGAATCCGAACTTTGTTTTATAGATTTCGCCACTGCGGATCTATCGGTGAGTCTCAAACATTTCTATGATTTCTAAGTAAATTTAAGAGGATTATCTTTTATAAACGAATACCTATTTAATATTAGCAATGAATTATTATTTTTTGTATAGCTTCATTTATCCTAAAAAATTAGTTGCTTATATCGTTCGAGAGCAAAAATTTTGCTCAAAAATAATATTTAATTGTACGTTCGTGAACTCAGTAAATTATAGTAATACACTTCGCTGTGCAATGAATCGAAGCAGTCGTCGAAATGTTTCGAATAAAAGATCTTGTAAAAATTCCGAACGCCTAATTTGCCTGCTTTATTATCGCTTTCTTTTTCCGTCGAGCAGTCAGCAGGCAAATCAACGGTATCGAAGGATGAGCCGAACGTTCCTTCGAATCGTATCAGATCCTCGCAGATGAATATTTAATTAGAAGAGAGTACGGAATTGAAAAGGAATCCGATGAGAATCAATTTTTTCCTACTCCAATTTGCTGTGCAAAAGAAACTGTGCACCATCATTATCTTGAGTTGAGATAACTGAACTAATTCTGACCTAGTTTCGACATCAATGGTTAGAACAAGCTTAAATGTAATTGGTCTGTGCATGTACGTACGTACTTCGACTTTATATACGATTATTAGTTTACCTTTGAAAACGTTGACAACTTTTCTAACAGCGGAGTCAAAGAGACGATCTAACCCAATTTTCCTTCGAAATTCCATTCTGGCACTTTCGTCTAATGCCTCAGTCGCAGAGCACAGTTCCTTTCAAACCGTACTAATTCAATGGGAAATCACAGTGTTAAATGTCGCGAAAGTAGCGGTAGCGGAGCTACATTCGCCCTGAAGGGCCCTTGTACAGTTCCTAATGGATACGATTACAAATTTAAATTAGGGATTTGCTGTTGAAGCGTATAACGAATTGAATTTCATTTCAGCCGGAAAGTTGCATCCATAAATACTTGGATCCGCACGCTTATTGCGTCGTCTACAGCAGCGCCGACCGATCGAGTTTGGATACAGCGGAAAAAATTCTACAGAATTTATGGACTTTGGATACTATCAGTACGAAGGCGGTGATTTTGGTGGCCAACAAGGCGGATTTAGTGAGGTCCAGGGCGGTTACTACTGAAGGTACGTTCAAATTGTTATAATTGGTGCAGCAATATCTCATGTATCTACCTACATTTTCCTTCTAAATGTTTTAAGGAGAAAATAGGCAACATCGCAATAACGTATAACATCATTATCGTCTTATAATGAACGAACTATAATCGGTCTAGCCGAAAAAATCGAATACCCATGCAGAAATTGTTATTGCAGTTTGGTGTTCCTCCGAGTTCCGTTACCTACTACCCTACAAATCCGGAAAGGGTCAACGAACTGCGAGCGTGGATAAATCGCTGTTCCATGTTCCATGTTCCATGTTCCATTATCTCAGTGGGAACTTGGAAACTCGGCGCTCGAGGTCTTGAGGTTACGCGGAAGATGTCGCGCGTTTTTCATGCCCATTCGGACAGAGCGCCTCCGTTTCGAGTATTCTGCTTTTCCATTTGACGTCGCCCCGACGCTTTTCTCCTTTTTTATAGAGCGCCTCTTAAGCCGGTCGTCCGCCTGCGAAATTACGACCCCGATGATACCCGGTGCGATATCTCCTCGGAGACCTGTTTTTATGGGAGTTTTTTTACAAGTTTTTAAATTGCTGATGTATAAAAGGAACGGCGTTTCAGGGGCTGCTACCTTGCTATAAGGTCTAGTTTTTATTTTTACGCTTAGTTGAATTGTGGATGGAATATATATATTTCTTAAATTATTGCGCCCTCTATATTCTTTGCGTGTATGGTTAGGATTATACATATGTAGGTGAGGAGTTTTAAGATGTAGTGAGACTTTTTTGGTGTTTACTCAATTATTGAAAAATTACCATTGAGAATTCGATCAGATTCAACCGAAATTTGATAGTCAAAATCCGAGAAAAACCTATCTATTTCACTGAATTATAACAAAATAAGTCTACTCCTTTTACATTGATAGTTCTATTTACATTTTAAACTGCTATTATTTCAAACTAATTGGATATTTATCAGTAAAATCTCCAATTATTTTTAGCTGAAATTTTATACACATTTTATCCATTTAAATTATTTTTAACCTTCATTTTCGTGACTCATCATTTCCATAAATCACCGAGGATTTTCAATTATCATCTAACTCCGGAAATCGATTCGTCTAAATTCCGCGAGCGGCAAGTCGGCGGTTTTCGCGCCGCGTTTTGAACAATTAAACAATACTTAATTGGCGCCGCTTTTCCGTAATTTTGCCATTTTTCATTCGTTATCGAGAGTAGCGGCGGCGTAATATTCCGCCGGATTAGTTTCAGGCTACCGAGATAGCCGCCTGTGCGCCCGAATTCCGGACTCCGGACTCCGGAACGTAATTACACAATCGATAACACCGGAATTTGTAAAGTGATCCAGTGATGTCGCCCGCCGTCTATCTAACTATTAAACTGTGCTTTTTAATCAAGTTACTTACGTTAATTAAATAATAGCCTCTCCTTTAGATACTTTACGTACCTAAATATCAAGTCAATTTATTTATTCGGTTTTTTTAAAGAATTTATAGGTGCGTTTAACCTTTATGAAGATCGAACTGCCTCGTTTATACAAAGTATTCGCGTTGGAAAACTCTTACCTGCTGAGGCATATCTTATACTAAAAATCAGAGATACCTCGGAATTTTTTCAAACATTTTATACGGGCATTATGTAAAGTCTCGCGAACTGAGAGAAAAGATAAGGTAAAAAGTACCCATCAAAGCCGTAATCCAATACCGTTTCTCGTAGAGCATTCATATTTCTTCTATTTCTTCTTCTTCTCCTTCCCCTTTTTTTATTCGTTTTTATCCGCTTCTCGAAATTCGAACTTTGAATCGTTAAAGGGAGGAAAGTACCTACTTGGGCGGAAAATTACGTTCGTTTATCTTTTAAATAAAAAAAGATAAACAGAACTTTGCTCTCCGTTTTGGATTGAACAGGAGTGTGGAGGGTGTGGAAGATTTATGTACATTTTTTTGATTTAATCAATACATTTTCACGATTCCTCCGACATTCCCTTCGGAACAATTTCCAACACCGGGATATTTTTATTAGAAACCGGAAAAAGATCTTCCGTGTTATAAATATGTAGTAATAGAAATTTCCTGCCTTTCATCTTTTTTACGACTCGATTTCTTTTTTTCGACTGATCCTAATAATTTGCTAAATTCGTTATTTTAATATTAATTAAAAAAGTTGTTTGTATTGTAGTGCAATTTCCCTCAAAAGACATCTTGTTTTAAAAAAGACAACTTGTTTAAAAGTGTCCAATTTTATTGCTTAACCGACAATTTTGATATTTCAGTATTTAAATTGTATAGAATTTAAAATATTATTTTAAATTTCAGAAGGTAAAACCATGGCGACTGCTTACGACTGCAAATATATAGAGACATCTGTAGGAATCAATCACAACGTGGACGAACTGCTGGTAGGAATTCTGACGCAGATCCGGTTAAAACTGGAGAATCCCGAAAGGACGCGCGACATTTTCCGGAAGCGCAGCTCCTCCAAGAAAAATTTGAACAGGTAAGCTGCGGTTGCATTATTAAAAGTCCAGACAAATGGCTAGAGTATCCAGGGAGCTCTTATCCTCCACATTAAGCTCTCTTCATTTATTAAATTAATTCTAAACCTTCCTCTAAATTTAATATGTAAGGCAAAGTAGTTTGTAACGAGAGAAAAGTAATTAAATATCCGTTAGGTGTTTGTGGAAAGTGCAAATAACAGATAATGATGGAAGATTTTTGACAATTTATTGCACGTACATCTTAATGCATCCTAACTCAAATTTTTTCAGTTCTTTGACCCATAAATAGCATCCGTAATTATTTTGACCAACAAATTAACTGTTACCTAAACATAAAAAATTTAATGCCATTACATTTACACAGTGCTGTGTTTATACTAATTTTTCACGGAACACAATACACTTTAAATTTACTTACCCTCTTCCCTTGAATAAATTTAATTTTCCATGGATGTTTAATTTATAACAAAATATTTTTTATCGGTTTTACGCTTGTTATTTCTAATCATGGGATTCTGGTTTGCAGGAATAAAAGTCCGGCGTCCGGAGCGGCGACGCCGACGGGCAGCGCTCAAAATTCGCCAAAGAAATACAGGGGCTCGAGGACGTCGGCCAGTTTAAAAGTGAGAAGCCTGTTGGGCAAGGTGTGGTCGAGGGATAGCAAGTCGAAATCTTGCGAGAATTTACATGTATTGTAAACGAATTGTGATATTTATTTAGTTGACGTTTATTTCGTAAGGAAGTGCGCGAAAATGGTTTTTTTTTGTATAGGAGAAAATGTTGGTAGATATATATTATATTTACATGCGATCTCGTTTAGTTCGCTTCGTTGTCTGTAATTTTTTTGTTATTTAACAAGAGATTTTGATGAAAGTGTATCTGATTGTCTTTAAATCACGCCCAATGGGATTGAGGTCATGACTCTGCAAAACGGAGTGTCCTATATTTATGCATTAGCGTTGCAAATAATGTATTTTATTATCAACGTACTTTAACAGATTTTTTTCAATCCACTTTAAAAGAAGAACTAAACGTATAAGTACTAGCATTTTCGTTTTAATAGAGGATTTTACACGTGTTCCAGTAATCTCATAATAAAATCCCCTATCGTAAATTGAGTTTAGATATAGTACAATTTTATTGTGATTAATTTTTACTTCGAATCAATCAGTTTCATTATCTATAAGTTTGTTTTTATACTCGTTTAAATTATACCTGATGTAAGTGTTGTTTCTATAGGTATTTTTGTTTTTTTTTAATTAAACGTTTTTTTATAGATTATTGTAATTGATTTTATTTTAACACGTGACGCGCACTAATTAACGCGAAACGGTCTTCCTTTCGAACGAATTTCAATCCTAACTCAACATATCCCCGCATTGATCCATATCTCACGATATAAGCACAAATCGGCGCAAGGGAAATCGTTTCGTTTTATTTTTTATAGTTTATAGTGGAATAATAAGGGTCAATTTTTTTACCACAATTACCCGGGTCCATACGATCTATAACACCAAACCAATACGCCCCTCTTGGAATGTGTAGAAAACAAATTATTTATAATAAATATTGTAATTTTAATATCGCTCCTCGTTCGTCCGGTGGCCAAAGCTGAATATATTCTCTACTTCTATATGTTAAATGTCAATGAGCAACAAAATAAAAATAGTCGGTGTTGTGTCCCAAAATTAATTAAGGGTGTATATTACCTCCTAACTGATCGCTCTATTACTTTTCCTTTAGCTGTAAGTTAATTTGTATATAATCCGGAACATAAGATTTATGGATTTATACACCCTTAGTTAGTAAAATTAGTGATAAGGGTTGATTCTATCATAGAGCATTAACCCTTTTTATCTACAATTATTGACACTATTCGAACCCCGTGCATGTAAATGTCTATTTTAAACCGATTATCAGTTAGAACCCACTCTATTAGTAAAATTAATATACACAATTTTTCCTATTATGTGTCTATAAAAAACATTCCCTCTATTCTAGATTAAAAACGAATTAAGTGGCACTAGGATTAAAACGTGTTCTGGATTAAATTCTTATTAAGTATGACGTGTATCAAATGCAATAATAATTTATACCGCGACGCGATGCGACGTCGGCGCTGCCATGACGGCGGCGTCGCGACGTCCAACGCCCGGTGAGTTGTTTAGCGAATGCCGCCGCACGAACGAGCAGTTCGTTTAATCAATTCGGGTCCACCTTGTTGTAATGTATTGTAGAAATGTATAGAAAATAGTTGTTAAAAGCATATATCATAACGGATGGGTCTGTTTCGTAGGCTCTGTTTTTACAAGATTGAGGTTCTTGTTGAAAGCGCATTCGCTATTAATATGTATAATGGATTTTTAAAGAGTTTCATGTGCGAAACAGGCCTGCACCTGCATTTTATTATTAATAATCTAGATGTTTTCGGATGTTATACATAATTACTTATATACAATAAATCGAAAGGCAAAGCGATGCGTGTCTAATTAAAAGGGAGAAACACATTTTTGAACGAAGGCAAATTTTTATGAAATAATTAAAAATTATATTTAAATGTACAATTACCGTTTCAACTGTAAATTTTTGTATGTAATTAACGATTAACAAATCAATCTAACAATTCAAAATTCTAATATTATCAATCACTATTAAATAACTCGACTTTAAGTTTCGTTCGAATGTTTTCGACGAATTATACTGGAGAGCAAAATTACCTAGAAATTCGATTATCAAACAAAATTTAAAAAGATTGTTAGAGGCTTAAAAATTTAATTATTAATGTAAAATATGAAACATTTAGGTACCTAATTTAATAAAATATTTATATGCGACTTATATTAAAATAAATATATGCATTGTATAAAATTTAAGAGTGTCCTGTTAATTTTACACTCCAGCAAAGTTAACATACGACCAATTTTCGTTGTGCCTTTTGTAGAAGGGGCTTAGCAGTTCGAAAATAGCTTTAGAAAGAAGAAACGGACTGAACCGATCGACAAGTCATAATTTTTACAACTATTAACGCATAGATAATAGATGTTTTATAAATATCTCATTCGAATCGAATCTTATGTGAATTTATAGGACGTTTATTGTTCATTTATTGAAGTAAAATCAAATCAAATCAATTTTTATCGATTTCATGTGTCACGAGACCATTCCTTCTACACAGAAAATTGTATTTTAGATAGTCGAGAGTGTTATAACGCATTATCAATGAAATATCTCCGTATACATTTCTGTAAATTTCGCTAAATTTCTTAATGTTACATATGTATCTTCCAAAGCGAAATGTGTATTTCAAATTGTTCGTATATGTTTAGCTTCTAAGAGATATATTTAATTAGCTGTTTGAGTGCCAATTTTGTCGGAATACATTTCAATTACATGTCCAATAATGTCTATTCAATGTCGATGAATGTTTAATTAAAAAATTAGCACTATTTGTTGTCGTTTATTACTAAAGTGAAGAGGAACATGAAACAATATTAGCAGCAAAAGAACAAATAATTAAGTGTACTTGTGCTGGTAGATTGAACAATATTCATATGAGAAATGGTAGAATAAATATTTGATAGTTTTCTAACATGAATGGAATTAATATTATCTAGTCGTAACGGAGATTTTCTTTAAAAATGATATAGTATTTATTTGGTTAAGTGTTTTTAAACTCTTTAACTACTTATCAACATTAAATATTGTTACATGTTCTTGTTAGACTTTTGTGTAATAAATTTTTATAAACTGTTCGGATATTCGGGTATACATTAGCAATAGTAAACGAATCACTTTGAATTATCTATAAACCCAATTTGTAATCTGCTGCCTATTGTCATTATAAACAAGTTTGTTGTTTGAGAGTGCACTTTGTTTACTATAAAAATTAAGTGTACCTACCCTTTGAAATATGTACAGATAAAATCCTGTATTGTTGCCCAATTGAATATCCCTAGAATATTAAGTTACTGTGAAAAATATCTATTATAATTTCTCTTCGATACTTTTTTTATTGAATGAATATTACAATTAAACTGACATATTATTGAAAAAAACTTCTACAATCTCTTATTCCTACTTATTTATTCGATCCAAGATGCACAATTTGGAATTTTGAAATTTGTAAATTTATATAATCTATATTGTAAGTCGAATTTGTAAAATAAAAGTTTGCTGTGCATGTGCCGAGTTTTTTTCTCAGAAATCATTATCCCGCAATTAAAGTATCTAAATATTATCAACATGTATAAAAGTCGTATATTTATTTAATAAATCCCAAAGGTGTATACATTTTTATTCTAAAAGATTTTTAGGTCTATACATCTCTTCTTCATCCTCGTCAGGTATAACTAATTCGTACTTAGGATTTCTCCTAGATCTCCCCAGAGGAATTTTCTGCAAAGATAATTTCACTACCAACGAATCATGATTACAAAGTGAACTTACGTCTTCTTCGAAATCGTCTTCGACTATTTCACTTTTGGTAGTTTCCATCGGCTGGCCCTCTTCGTTGGAGAAAAATCCATCATAAACGACAAACCTGGTGGGCTGCTTGACCGCATCGCTCAGGCCGTAATGCTTGCTGAGGAAATTCGACAAGGCGTCGGTCGGTTGATCGTAGGCTATTTTCGCCGGTTCCAGATCGTTCTGCCACAGCAGACTGTCGTACAAGAATTTACCCCAGCCCATTCGCTGCTTGTTCTCCGGCACGTAGAAATCGAACAGAAAAGGCGCCTTGACTTGGTACTCCCTGCCTAATCTGTCCAACACGTACAAGCTTTTCTCTGTAGCAAAAGAAGGTAGATGCTCGTTAAATTGAAGAGAGCGGAAATTCTCGCGTACTTCCTGTTTTTAACATTCCCGCGACTGCTCCTCTTCCGTAATTCGCTGTTTGATCCACGGCTAAGTAAAGGTCGTGCTGGGAATTTTTCAGTTTGTCTGTGGTAGTCAACGGTCTGAGCAAACCCTGAGATTTAGCGGAAGCCGATCCCATTTCGTTTACAATTTCACCAACCTACAAGGTTTAATTCACTAACTTCTTTACATAATAAAGCAACACATTCAAATCATGAATTGGAGTATAATTGAAGTGAGGGAAGAAATGGTGAATTGGAGCCCACCTACCTTTGAAATGGTGTCGTACAACATCCTCCTGGGTCCGGCATAATCCGATGGTATGAGTGAATTGCCGATTTTAACCAGAGGTGTTTTCAACACTTCGTTGACGTTAAATCTAAACTCCATTTTCCGTGAAATCGATACCACAAAAAGCGTGGAAAAAATTAAAAAACAACTCGCTCTCTTATCGATAAAAGTTAAATAATGTAAACGTCAAATTGACAAAGAAGTCGTTACGAATAGTAACGAGATATTTAAATAAACTGTATCGTTCTCAAAACATTTTGTATCTCCGTCTCGTTTGCAATACTATTTTTTTCAACAAACTTTTTAAAAACCAACGGATCACAACCGCATGGACTTGCTAATTGAATAATGACTTATAATAATAAAGATTGATGTTTGGAAAGAAGTGTGTCAACTCTTTACTCCATAGGAGTTTGATATATCGAAGTCAAACCAATTAAATGAGTAATATATCAAATTATTCTCGGTATCTGTCACCTAGGGGAATAGTGTTATTCTCACGTCAATCGGTAATCAATTTACTGATGGCAGGTCGTTCGGAATATCACAGAGCCGTCTCCAAGTTATTTTTATACATTGTTTGAAAGGAATACTATTTGGCCATACTTTTTAGTATGGCCTTTTATGGCTTTTTAGCATAACTTGGAGGTTATGCTTCGTGTGGACTCTGCTGTCGCTTCAAAGCAAAAGGTTTTATGCTTTTAAAACCTTTTTCTTTTATATTTTGCTTCTACCTTTTACTTCAAAGTAAATGCTTCATTTTTATAAAAATTTGACTATTATGTTTATTTTATCGTAAGATAATAATTTTTTTGGAAAATCATTCTTTTTAATGTTCTTAACCTCGTAGTTTATTTATGTAGAAGGTGAAAAATAGCAGACTTAAGGTACTTTATTTTTATCTACAATGCATGTTTTGCAAATGGTCATTTTAACAAGTAACAACGTGCGCAATTCGTGTTTCTTCATCACAGCATGATAAACTTCTAGAATTACGTCTACTTGTAAATGTCCCACCTATATTTTGCAAAGCATAGAAACTGATAGTGAACGTGTATGTTATTAAATTATGATAGTGCAAAGATTTATTCATACAGGTAGTCAACAGTAATTGGAAAATAATAACAGCCCTGAAGAAGGTTTGAATTAAACTAAAGAGTTAATAAATTTAGAAAATACATCATTTTAAACGTGATAATTCATTTAAATTAACTTTCAATGCGAAGCTAAAATACATTTTAATTACTTTGTTAGTCACAAGTGTGTAATTAGACAATGGCAGATTCGACGTGTCCACACAAATGAGCTTGTGTCAATGTAAAATCGTTTGCTTTCAATACTATTTCTATTTTTTTTCACCTACTTGGGCAGGTAACTGGGTCGCTCAACTGTTCTCCGCAATTTTATTGTTTGCTTATGCTACCTATGCAATCGTTCAGTACGTTTCTTTCTCTTCTACACTCGCGAGATGTAAAAGAACCTCATTTACATACCCTGTGTCCAAAAACTTTTAATGAGTGTAGATTGAAAAAGATTTAAATGGAAGGTCAATCCTAAATATTTTTGTTTTTATTGCCTCTTGAAAACGTCTAGTTAAAATTCGTACACCATTCATAATGGAGAGAAAATAAATTGATTCATTATGTTAGTTTGAATAAATAATTATATCAATTTATTATTTGAATCCCCAGGTAATTTCGAGCTATTTTTTTCTCCAATTTAACATTCCACAATTCTCAGAAATATACACAATAAAAAAATCACTATCTACCATCGTTTAATCCATTCATTGGGACATTATATTTGACTTGAACAATTTTCTAAATTCCAAGTACAAACAAAAAATATACTATTAAATTTCTGAAGTTACGCCCCTGATATGCAAGAGGAAGTCACAGTGACCTTGATCGAGGTTAGTGCAATCACCTGGAGGTGCATTTCGCCTACTTATCGACTTCTACTGACATATATGTTATTCACAATATTCACTTACGAATAACGATGAAATTGTCGAAGGCCCGAAGAAGACGGACCAAAAGTCATAGGCGCGCCCGCCCTTCTATCCTTTTATTTCAATTTAATTGTATTTTATTGATAATAATCTGGAACGATTAAATCGATTTTGTCAATATGATCATCAATATTTCATCGTTAATATTTTGCGTTATTTTGGCCCAAATGGTTGAGGTAATCTGTTGAGGTTTTTAATATGCTTAACTCCACTTTTGTGAGAATTATGCCCCATTTCACCAACATATTTTTAGGTTTTGAAGCCTGGAAAAAACACCTTGCACACCATAGGTACAGCTAATAACAGCATCATAACAGCTATTCTTGTCAAATTGAGCATAATTCATATAGAGTAATACTCTAATTTAAACTCTTAAATTGTTTAATATCATTTCTGATTATTGACCGGTATTTTTCCCGTTCCACAATTTATCTAAAAAATAGCTTTTAACTTTATTACCTACCTATTTTTCGTATAGTTTTTAGATAAATTAGCATCTAATAGCAACTTGTGGTCGGATATGTAATCGCTTCCATGTAAAATGCAACCATTAATTTAAACGCGAGTAACGGCGTTTTTTTTCTCTAAATTTAGTTAGGTAACCCATCAAAATATTCTGTTATTACAACCGCAAATGCGCGATCGCGTTCGATCGGTAATAGCTCGATAAGCGACAGGCCTGGGTCAACTGCATCCACTTCTGTTGGTAACTCATCTGATACCATCAGAACACGATTTCGCCGAGTAGGTACTTCTTCTTCGTAGAGCACTCCAGCGACGCTGTAGAAAGTGCTCCAAATTAATTAAACGCACGCAGAAGAGGACGTTTTTATCTTGGGTGTCTATCTCGACGCGAGTCTTCGATTGTGTCGGCGTTGAACTTGGACAAAAAAGCGCAAGGCGACAGAAGAACGTGTTCCGTGAAAAGTTGTCAGTGCTTGTTTGGACTGCGCGTGCGAATTGTTTGACATCGTTTTTTTTAATACGGTCATTTCTGTCTATTAGAATTTAATTGGAAGTCGCTCGACGTCTAAGTATTTAGAGCGAAATAAATAGATATTACCTATTATTTAATGAACCGTTGAAGGATTTACAAAAAGTACATACTTCATATATAAAGTAATTGAAGTTGTCGAATGTGAATACATACAAAATTGTGTTTATTACATTATTTCAACAACTCATCATCGTTATCAATTAAGCTTTATTAGGCTCTCTATTTTATTACAAACAACCCTTCTATAATTTTTAACAAACGTATTCAAGTCGCAACAATAAAACATAAATATTATTGTATTCTACAAGGTAGGTACATTCTATAATTTTTTTAACTCGTAATTACACGGTGTTAAATTTCGCTGAAAAACTAATTTATTTTCGAACATTAAACTTAAAACACCATCGTAAAATCAACTTTCCTCAATTATGCCTCCTCAGCATTGGCAGAGATATCTATTATTAACAATTCTTCAGCATTTTCTATTTTTCTTGAAAAACGCATAAATTCCTTGTTTCGTTTCAAACACTTTCCCTCCCGCGAAAAAACACAAAGCACTCATCATCCTCGATTGCAACGTATATCGAATATTCGCGTACATTCTACGTTTTATTGTGCGCAAGAAGTGTGTTAATAAATTAACAGCTAATATAGGTTTATTATATTGAGAAGTTAGAAATTTCATTTATTAGCCGTTGATGAGGTCTCATTTTACTTGAGAATGGGGTCATTTGATAATTTTACTATTTTAATTGATTACTTTCTTATTGTGCATTTTCTAACGCAAAAATCTATTAGGTATAAATTGTTGGGGATGACTTGACTCGTTTATAATAGAATTAAGTTATTACTAAAAAAGAGACATTCAATAATAAAAGCTTTAAACCATCCACAAACTGCACCTAATGAAGCTATTTTTATAATGGGATGAAACACTCTTTCAATTAAGAGAAAATGTGGTGATAATGAAATCATTGTACAATCGAACACTACAGATGATGAAAAAGTGATGAAGTTGTCTTGCACTGGAAAGGTATTGAAAGATATTACAAAACTCTTAAATGCGTATTCTATTAGGTTTTCAATACAAAAAACATTATGAGTTCACAATCTTAGAAGTAATCTATGAGGCAAATCGAGATCCAGGTCGATTAGCCGGGACGATTTTTAATACACGCCGGTTGCATTAGATTTGATATCGTTTGCAGCACGCGAATAAATCGAATCGATTAGTTATTGGCTAGCGTTCGGAGTAATTTTTAACGATATCGATTCCAATCGGAATGACAGGTGTACAGTTAACAATAAGCCATAACGTTTGATTGCTATGGGACGTATATCGGCTTGTCTTCGGGGTTGAAGCGGCATTCCTAGAGAGCGACCGCGCGTAAAATCTAAGTGAATGATTATTTACGGACCGTGTGGTATCTTTTTAGGGATCGACCCTACAGAAATTTAGATGAATAATTGAATTTAATTAGTAGGTTTATACCAAATTTTTTATCGAAATAATTGCATGCAACTCGGTGAAACTTAATTTGCTGTTTTTTTTTTATTTTTGACTAATTCGAATTAGGTACTTGCTGAGTTGAATATTTATTTTGGCTTAATGAATGTCCTCGTTAACAAGTAACAGTTCTCCATGGCAAAATAAACGTCGAACGAAGGAAAAAAAACCGCGGATGTTCGTATGAAAAAGAAGATTACGGTACTCGGTAAGAAAAATGTAAGGCGAACGAATATTTTACCTAAAATCACACGGTATGCAAAAACCGGCCGATATTCATCCGTAATTTGATTAAAACACTGTCGTACGCGTCTGGGATTAATTAAAATGCATTATTCATGCTGACCGATTGTGCACTTCTCATTCGAACGTGTACGTAATTGAAAAACGAATTGATATTTTCTCTCCTAGACGCATCGACAGCGAAAACGCAGATTTAATTGATCCAACAAGGTTTTGTTTTATAATTGATTCATAATCCCGTGCGAGCTTAATTAAAACCTTTCCAATATTCCCTAACTTTGGACGCAACTTGCAATAAATAATAAGTTATGCTATATTATACGTTAATTGGTATTAGTGTGAATTTTTAACAACTTGACTCTTATTAAAATAAAAACTATAATCAAATCATAAATCATACTTTTGCGGTGTAAAAATATATATGTAGGTACATTTAAAAATGCCTTTATAATATCCTCTTGGTAAAGTCTCGTTATAGCGGCTCCTAAACCAAACGTACAATTTATAAAGAACAACTTTTTATGCGATTTTACATCATCAATCAAACCATCGAGAGCATCAATAAATAATTTAATTGCGTTTTTATTAGACTAATAAATAACGAAGTATCGGATAAAAATCGGTAATTGCCCGACGTTACAGAAGACAAAAGCCGCCGATTCGGGCGAGAAAGTAAGACGTAAGTACGTAACAAACAGCTGGAGAGGAAAAAAAGATGAGACGAGGAGCAATCTGTGCGGATCTGCAATTAGCCGGGGCACAAAGACAAATGTACAGATCGCGGTGCTCTTCGCCCTCTCGCCTTCTTTCCACAATTTTACAGAAGAGGTGGATCATAATAGGCCGGATCGACTTCGATTCACTTCAGTTCAGTTCTGTTATTCCGTATTCATCGTGCGGACGAACCAAGCGCAGCATTCTTCAGACCTGCCGCCGCAGTCGTGATTTATTTTGCCATTCGATTGTATTTTTTCCACACTGATTTTCGCCCTTTATCGTAGTTCCTAAGTCGGGCTGGAATGGATTCGAGACTGACGTGCGATCGGGGGATTTTTCTAATCGTCTGTCTGGCGGGGTTCTTGATATCTGGTGAGTGATGGGGTTGATTTATTAGGTGGTTCGAATTGTAAAATAATACATTATTTTATCCATTTTGATAGTAAATTGATTAAGCAGGATAAATAATCAATGCACTGTGTTGGTAATTTTTTTTCATTAAATTTTCGTCAAACTTCCGCATTAAATAATTTAATAGTGATGGGTTATGATTCGTATTTCAAAGTAGTTTATTATAAAATACTAATATGTATAAGAACACTCTTTATAAATATTTTAACCTTTGTGTTACCAAAAAAAATTCAAAAGAATCGCTTTGTATATGAAGCACCAGTTTTTAAAGGTGCACGTATGAGCGCAATAATTAATAGGATGATAATGGGAAATTTTTGTTCGTTTTGGTGTGTCGAGCGAGCGAAATTTTAAACTCGTTAGCGAAACGAAAAATGAGTTTCCGCCAATTTTAATGTTACGAATGCGGGCGAGTTAATGATGGCTCGTCGCCGAAACGAGATGAATTTACAAAGGAAGCGAAAAGGGCGCAGAGAGAAATTTTCGGTGATGAATTTGTATTCGAATTCGCGGTTTGCATGCGGGTATTGTTTGGCCGGAACGCGAATTAAAAACGTGTACTAATTAATCATTCGTGAAAACTCCCGCTCCGGGCTGCAGTCGGGTTATGACTTTTGATAGCTTTTTGTATAGTGTTTTAAAATTAATTGATATACCTACGTAAATTTTTTGGACATTTTACATAACAATTTTTACAGAAGACAAAACATTTCCCAACCAAGAAGAATTCATTAATTGAATAATTAAAAATCGAATGCAATTTTGATAAATGTAGAAAATCAATACATTGAACTTTTTAGAACTACTTAAAATACTAAATTATAAAGTAGGTGTGTTTTTAAAATGATGAGAAATATAAATATCTAATATTGAAACAAACAAACAATTATTAGATAATATACTTTGTATATTTTGGTAATAATTTTCATTTTCCACAAAATTTCTAATAATGAATAATACCTACCTATTAAATTTTTCTTGATCTTCTGTCATATTTGATAACCAAACACACCTAATTTTTTTCAAATACTGGCACAAACCAATAATAATTTTTTAAGCACTCGGAGTATTTATTTAATAACAAAAAGCACTGTTTATTATTCGAATTTTTAATCTTCAATAAAGACGTTAAAGTTTCTAACAGAACATGTGCGATTACAAACCATTATAGCAATTACATCGTGTTTAAATTATATTGTTGCCTCAACACTTTACGATAGTGATACTAATTGTTTTTACCGATATAACAGTTCCTGTATTAAAAATTTAATTTCCTCAGAAAATTACAAGCACATACAGTTCGTTACAAATGTTGTAATTGCTCCCGTTACCATCTCTCGTATATTTTACGCCAATTACATTTTCAAGGAAGTAGGTATACTTGTAATGTGACTTTTCTTTGAACACTTTAAATAAGATTTTATTATAGAATACTACAATATTCAATGGAATAGGTTATTTTGAAAGTAGAAAAGTAGAAACAATCTTTCTTTCTAACGTAGGTACTTTTGATAATATAATCCAACTTGATTTATTCTTACGAAGGACTTATTTGGTACGATCCATTATTCAAGATGCCGGTAGCCGATTTAGATGCAGAAGGACCTCGTTCATTTCAATCTAAGGTCTCCATAAGTGAAACGATATGTAATGTAATAAGAACGAGATATTTCTGCATAAAACACGGCTTTGTTTTCGTGTGGGCATATCCTTAAACGAGTGACTGATGAGAGCACTCTATGTAAGTATATTGAGAGACTCGTATCTTATCATCTTTCATATGCACTTAATTACACTTAAGAATGAATGTAATTCATGTAAGTTTGCTTTCTATCTCCGCGTCTGTTTGTTTATTTTCGCATTTTTACATTGGTCTACTAATTGACACAGCTTGTAAATAAATTACAATTTAACAGTGCAGAAAATGGTTCACTACAGCGTAACTGAGGTGAAACCGAATAATGGAAATTTTCCAACAAAGACGAAACCTCATTTTTTTTTTCAATCAGTTGGTCGTGAAGAAACACGAAATTAGTAACGTTTTCACAGATGATTTCCATTTTTTTATATGTATTCGTCTTCATTTTAGTCTGCTTTTTATTGGCATATTTTAATTCCTTTAATGGTCGCCTTTAAGATTTTAGCAAGTATACAATACCTCCATTTCATGGCCATCGTATATCACTTTTCCGCTACTTATATACAAGTTAAAAGCTTATAAATCATATTAATGCCTCGTAAGAGATTCTTAACGATGTCCGGCCCATAAAAAAATTATTTTTCTACAGACGCCAGGTAATCGCTGGACCCTTGGCGATTTTAAAATTTTTAATAGGACTTCTTGCCAGAACGAGCACGTTTTAACTGGACCAGATATACCTAAAGTCAATTGGGTATACTGTTAATTTATAAATTTAAGAGTTCATCCGGTATTTTCTTGTCTATAAAACAATCAGATTTTATCTGATACAAATCAGTTAATTGTTGGGAAGTTTTTCCTTTTATACAAAGGTGTATCGTATTAGAGCAATTTAGTGATTATTTTCCAATAAATCCTCGCTTATCTAGGACAACGAAACAAAAATAAAAAATGATCAACACACTTTCTAGCTAAGCCGTCTGCAGTAAATGCAGTGTTTATTGGCATATTATCGATTCGTGGCTTATTATTAATTAAGCAACACGTCATTTAACGAATCGGTGAGAGTGTAGTTGTCTAGCAGCAAAATTAACGGTACAACGTATATTATTAACGATGGGTAAATGATACACGTTCGATTCGAAAGACTTTTCATCTTTTTGAATAGCCTAGATATCAATGAGGACAAGTTTGACGATAGGAAAATGTACGCAAAATAGTAGGTAATTTTATTTCATCGTCCGTCTGGTAAATCTACCTCCCACAGTTTCGGTTTGTATTCCTCTATGATTATATGCCTCACCCTCACGATTGCTATATGAGAACGATAGATGAGGAACGGGATAACTAAATAAAATTCTTATTTGTTTTGCCGACTATGTTGCTTGCAATAAAGTCACGCACGGAACGACTATTTAGACATTCCGGTCATGCGAGATGTCCCCCGATGTCTCACGGACGTTTTCCTCCTAACGAATGCACCGGCATAGATGCTGTAGGTAATTCGAAATATAAAAAGCGCAAATATGAAATATACAGAGCATAAACCATAACGAAATCGTAAATCATTCATGCAACTGTAAAGCAGAAGACGGTACTTCCTGCAATGAAAAGCGTTCGGCGTTCGTTTCTTTCGCGTTAATTCCTTGCCCACATTGAAGGTAAAAATTCGTGCGGTTCTTTCTTATTGATCTATTAGATGAATTGGACGGTTCCTGCGGCATGTAGCACGCTTTGTTTGCTCTGCTTGTACCCGCCAAATCGCTAAAATGTTGCTAATTTTTTCGTATATATCACCGGAAAGATTTATTATGTGTGTCCTGTCGGCAATTTAACTTGTACAGTTAAAAAAATATGTTCAGACTTTCCAGGTAAAAAACTACACATAACGAAATGAATTCGTTGTTTTTTTTTGTGTTTTCATCATGCATGATTAATTAGCAAGACAGCTTTTCTTGTCAACCAACAAATAGCTTAGTTCGAATGACAAAAAACCGAATTCTTGTAGCTAAAATAATTCGCTCATCTGGAAATATACTGTTACATTTTCCTAGCGAAGCATGTCACACGATGAATTTTAAAATGCCAACTAAAATCCTCAAGTAACCACATGTCGGCGTTTTACATAAATTACTCCTGACCTCGCCGTTAGCGCTGAAAAGTTCAACTGAAGCACGTCTTAAATTCAGTTTTTTTTTTTCGTTAATACATACCCGAGTCTGATCTTATTTGTCTAATACGTTTCTTGACCTTTTCCTAATAGCATAGGATAGATCCGAGCAGATTTATCGGTTGTTAGTCACGATCTTTGATAGGTGTTTCTCACCTCACAATCCGCTAATTCCACGATTCAAATTAATCCGAATTTAAAATTTTTATCTACATGCCTTCTTTAATATATGTATTTTTTAAGTATCTCTTATACAACCTGGTTCGATGGACGTTGTTATGAAATTTCAAAGAGCAGTTTAAATTTTTTAGCAGTCGATGCAATTAACTGAGATTCAACTCGTCGGAACTGCATAAATCCGGGCAGAATTCATCGAATCAGTCGAAACCGCATGGAAAGGAACCCATTAATTCGAGTTGTTTGGTTTGAATGGATGCTCCCAAGACGACATTAATTTTTCAATTCGAACTCAATTAGTCCGTACTTTTCACTTCCTAATTGAATGATAAAAAACTTGTTAATGTACTGGTTTCCATTTAAGTTTATACAATTGGAGGCGCACCGATCTTTTGTAATATTACTGTTTTCGTTTTTTTCAATCATTAGTGCTCTCACGGATGTTTTAAAAAGATTTCCTTAAAGAAATTATATTAAAAAAACTAATAGTCCGGGCTATTGTTATTCCTGTTATTTAATTACATACATAATATATTCCAATATTCTATTTTTTGTCTTTATATGTATATAGTTGGTATTCTACATATTGAAACATTCAGAAATTTTATTACATACGTACGCATTAAGAAAATATTTCCCATAATATCCCGTTAAAAAAGCTTATAAACCGAGAAACCTTTTAACGTCAATAATGTGTATAAATAGTTTTAAAGTTTCAATAACGTGTAATTAAGGTAAGCTTCGGCTCGTAAACGTTCTACGGGCCGTAAAGCACGCAATTTTCTTGAAATTCAACTCCTGCTTGCGACCTGCGACGGTTTCAGAATCGCGTTACGACCGAGACTTGGAAGTATTAAAACGCGCATTTCATGCATAAGGTACCCCGCCTCGTCGCGATTAGTTAGAGGCGAATTTTATGCTCTGTTTGGCCGTTTTTAATTAACGTTCGCGTACTAAAAATCGCGTTAAATTCAACGGCGAAATGCCGGTATTCGACAACCCATGTACAGGAAACTCGCTAAATTATTATCTCAAATAGTTCGAATAGTTTATGCATTGTTAAAACTCAACGAAGAGTTCACCTTCTTAAATCATCAATGTCTTATTGTTATTTAATAATTCATCTGATTAAATTACACTAACAAGTATACTAACGTATTTGGAGTGTATTTAAATGAGAATACTTGTAATTTATCTCAGTACAGTTCTGTTCAATACTGTCAATCAGCGTGTGGCATAAAAGGCGTTATTATTCTCGCACAGTCGGTTCAATTGGATGGAAGCCTTCGGGGAGTTTGTAGAGGCTGAATGAAAATGAACGAGAGAAAACGAAATATTAGCAATTCACGAGGTATTTTCTCGGCTGGCGCATTAACATAATAAAGTAGGAGACTGGGTCATTATTTCAATGGTGCTAAGACCTTACTGGCTGGATGGAGATATTTATAAGTTTATTCGGAAGCTTATTAAACTTGGTTTTTTGGTTTTATATAAAATTAGATTTTTACCACCTTTTGACTTTATTTGATTTTTAGCACCTAATTAAAACCTTCATTAGCATCAAGATAATCTGGAATTTTAAACATTAAATGTGACACCCAAAAAAGGCTAAAAGCCCACTTTCTCGCTATCCTTATGGAAATTGCCAACAACCGAAATAACGGAATTAACTACACAAGTTCGTTCGTTATCGAAAAACCAGCCTATCGGCATTTTTACACACCGATAGGCATCTCTCACACCTTCATGTTCGTTCCCATTTTCAATTGACGGAGTAATCAATAACTTTCCTTTTTGCCTTACCTTTTCCGATCTTCATACGTATCTATTTACATTCATTAAGTTCAACTTACAATTTTAAGGTCAATGATTTTTAAAGTAAATAGAAAAACTAATCGAACAGGCCCGTATTCAATAAAATCAACGTCGTAAGTAAAGTAAAAGTTGAAACCTTACCTGCCATTCCATTTTGTAATACCCAATATTTTGGTATCTTAAGATTGTAGATACAATTTAACATGTTTATCTACAAATGCATGGATCACAAAAATATACGTTTTTGTATTAAAAAATACCTACTATACTGTAATAGGTTTTCCAAAAATCCTTGCACTGAAATAATCCGGAAGTTCATTAACTGAAACTCGCCCTTTAAATGCTTCCCAAGTGCGTAAAGAAGCTTAATAAATCAGTGAATTTTACGGTCTTAACAATGAAGTATTCCCGCTTTGAGAGAAAATATTCAGTATTACCATTATGTTGGCAACGACCGGCATTTAGTCTCGGATGACAAAGCTTTTTTTTAAATACTTGGGAGTAGGTATATTACGTGTAATAAAATAGATTAATTCAAGCGGAAAGCAAACCGTATAGGATCTACTCATGGGCGTTCCTCGTTTCCAATTTTCAATTCAACTTTATTGTGTAATGAATTTCATCGCCCTTTTTTATTTAAAATATGTACAGTTTGTCTTACCAAACGAACAGGATTTCATAGAAAATCTCGTTGACTAATTGTTAAGTGAATAAAGGATTATTCTAACCATCTTTATCGAAAACTTGCTTCGAAATCTTGGTCGATTTTAATTAGACCGATATATCACGATTTTTTGGGGCATACCTAAACGTTTTTTTATCGTGAGAATGGAATGTTTGCAGGATATTTCGAACGGTTTTTTTTAGATAAATCTCGCTAAAAACGAGTCGGCAGCTTCAGTTTTACGATACCCATATGGGTATGATATAAAACTGTTCGGATAGTAATGGAGCAGGTTATTATATTTAATAAAAAAAATCGTGAGCAAACCGAAACGATTCGATATTAATAATACGTCTAGTTAGTTAGTAAAAATAACGGACACAATACAAATGAATAGTCACGTTTATCGTATCTTGTAAGCCTAAAATTCATCAAAAATGTTCAGGATAAATCATTAAATCCAAGTTAATTTATTTATGCATCGCTTTATGTCTAAATTAATTATAAGTTATAATATTGCATATTAAATACATAATTATTTTTTGTAATAAATATAACAGCTTTCAAGAAGAAGCTTTGGTGTTTAATAGACTACCTGCATTCCTAAATTTCACCAATTGATCGGAAAAAATTAATTAATATTCATTAAATTCGTTTAGATACGCAACAACATTGCGTAACGGTTTAATGGTATACAATATTCAGAACGTGAAAGTATCGAAGAATTAAATTAATATGAACCTCAAAATAATAAGGTATTTTTTTGCAGGAATATCAGCGTATAGAGACTCATCCTGCCCTCGAATTTGCAAGGAAAACGCTTATGGAGATCCGGTATGCGGAAGCGACGGTGTCATTTATCCTAACATATGCGAAATGAGGAAAAAAACTTGCGGAAAAGGTAAGCAATCCACAGCATTATTACAGATTACTGCACTTAAATCTATTCGAGTTTTGTGAATATTTATCACAGCCAAGAAAAGCCGCTATATAACACAAAAATTATTTTTCTATAGTTTTGCAAATATTGTAATTATTACCTAAGCAGTAACAATTACATAAGTACGTTAGAGGAAATCGATTTATTAGGAGAGTAGGTCAAAGGTAAATAAATTTCGATACCGAAAGGATGTATCAAATTTGGAATATTTATTTAAATTCGAGGCTCTTTTTATTGTATAACTTTAAAATTACACAATACCTATAAAGAATAGATAGAAGAATGGGTAGAATAAATATTTACTATCAGCCACACTTCCTTCTTTACTCGTATATAAAAATACATATTGTAGGGTAGGGCGGGGCTAGTTGAGCAACTTTTCACTTTAGCGGATATAGCTCATCAATGATATGTGTGAATGACTTGTTATGTGGCTTGATGGATTAGTAATTTATCCCTTAACAAAAGTGTCCATAGTAACTTTTTTGTAACTAGTTGAATTTTAGAGCTACAGCTGTTTAAATGCAGAAAGTCAAGTATGCTCAATGTACCCCATAGGTGAGGTAAGTTGAGCAACGGTATGTTTACATATAGGATATGTTTATTTTTATAATCATCTCTTTATTTATTGTGATTTAGTGACAAAACAACAAAACTTAAAGTAATTTACGAGCTTTCTGTTTAAAATCAGAATTAAATAGCTTAAAAAAATATTAATAATATATTAGCAAGTTTTGGTCGTTGTTACTGTTGCAATTAATACAAATGAAAGTAAGACCATAGCACCTGGAAGACATTTTATTTGTGCCCATTCCCTGCAAGCTTGGCAGTGAATCCAACTTTCTCCTGGTAAATTTCGCAGTAGTTGCTCAACTAACCCCAACCCGCAATTTTAAAATAAAAGTGAGGTCATAAAGAAATCGTAAGAATTATAACCAGAACATCTCTACATATCAAAAGTACAATAATTTTCTGGAATATTAACCCTTACCTCATTGAAAACGGATAATATTTGACTAATACAGACGAAAACTTGCGATAGACGACGTTTTTACTTTTTGGTCACAAAAAAAACAAAACGCACGGGGGCTTTACTTGCTTGTCGAGGCGCCACTTGCAATAGCTCTGTGATTAGGTCTCCCCCGACCCCTTCTTTCCGCCATAAGATGTTTATACGTACGGTGAATAGTTTGCGAGATATTTCGATTGCACAACTTACCCGTATGCTCAACTAGCCCCGCCCTACCCTACCATCTACTTAGTCTGTATAAAATTTTTATCCACAATTTTTATGTAGGTAGACATTTACCTAACACCTACATGAGTTATTATTCGAAATAGGAGGTGCTTATACCTAATAATACCCTTTATAATACCTATAATTAATCGCTTAGGGTACCACCGAGAACGTGACAAAACGAGATCGAAACAGAGACGACCGTCGACATAAATTATAATGCTTAACAAAAATGCGGAGAAAGAGCATTAGCATTTATTTCATTTCGATAATTCATCGAAGCATAGCGTGAATGCGAACCACCATCTTTGTACGAAATAACGGTAATAAATAGTTATTTAATAACATTTCTTAACACTCCAGGTATAACGACGATTAGCGATAGATTATATATTATATTACATCTTCCGCAATCTGAATATAATGTCACTATCCCCACTAGGTGCGTATCGTTGGACAGTTTTTTTTCGTTTTTCTTTATTTATTTCATTAACTAGAGATTCACCATCATGTCTCCTTGCATAAAATGAGTTTACTACGAGAAAAATTTTATGATACAAGTTAGTTGTGGAGAATCTTCATTGAATATTCCAAAAAGTTTAGGTACTATCTTAAAGCTGTCTACAGCTTTAAATAAATAGACTTCTTAAACGCGAATAAAATTCGTCAAACGATTAATGTTAAAAACTATCTACTATTTTACAGTTGAACCTCAAAAAAAATTTCGATGCAATCTGTAACAATCGCTAAAAAATACACATTAATTAGTTTTAATAAAGGCTTTTTGTTTGCAACTTACAATTACACTCATATTCTCACTAATTAAAACAGTAAAAACGATTTGTCTAACAATATAATATTAAAATCACTAAATATGTATTAATTAAAATTTCTTTTAATAACATCTTACGAAGTCTTTCCTATGAGAGTGAGAGATAATTCATGTAATTAAATATTTAAATAAACAAATAGATAAATACACATGCACTCCAAGAAGAATAAAAGATTGTTTAATTAAATCATTAGAGGTATAATTTGCTATCGTTATATTTATATGAAAATTAACTCTATAGGAACTATGATTACGTGAAATTTCCATTTGGTAATAAATATTCTACTTAACGTTATCACGTCAAGAGCGCTGTTAAAATATTCAATCGGGTGATTATCATAAATGCCCCGGCAAAAGAGCAGTAAAAATTTTATGTAACTGCAATTTATTCTTCCTTTGAGAGAATTTAATTTCGCTTCCTATTCGCTTTTCTTTTAGTGCTAATTTCTTGCAGGCGTAACATTATCCTCAGACCCCAAAGCGTGCAAAAGATCGTCGGGCTCTAAATGCGATCACAAGTGTGGCGGCGAAAAAGACCTGGTTTGCGGAACGGACGGCCGGACGTACCTCAACAAGTGCATGCTGCAGGTCGACATTTGCAGGTAAAAGTTTCCCAAATACAATAACACCTACACAATAACACACCGCTTTAAATACACACACCATTTCGGCGATTCATTCTCGAATTAATTAAGCAGAACGAGTGTTGGCGTTTTTTTAGACTCGGTATAGGACTTTCCCATTTAGGTCCTTGCAATAACATCAGCGCTCACAGGGAAAATTGCCCGGTCGATTGCAAGCAAGCCCCGTTGGACGGCCCCATTTGCGGCAGCGACGGCAACGTTTACAAGAGCACCTGCCAAATGAAATTACTCACATGTGGGTGAGTATCAATCTTTGTAACAAACATATCCAATTTATTTAGAAATGCAAATATTTGTACCTTTAATATATTGCATTTCGCTTAGTACCAAAAAGCTTTCATAAATTCTTTTTCAAGACCGTTATTTGCACATATATTTTTCTTCGTATACTACCTCCTGTAGTTCTATTCACCTATTTATAAATTATAAAATGCAAATCTTGCGGATTCTATCATTTATACAAGAACGATCGAAAAGGAAAACGAAAACGTTTGTATTGTTTATAGTCAGGGGGTCGTACGGACGAATAAGAAATACTGCCAGACGACCAGACATTGCAGGGAATCGTGCTGGAGGAACGCAAAGCCCGCCTGCGGCTCGGACGGCAAGATTTACGCGAACGTGTGCAGGATGAAGGCGAAAAATTGCGGGTGCGTTATAATCCCCATCAAAAAAATCCCCTTGTGTTAAACAACTTCGCGTATTTTCAGGAAGCACGTATTCGAAGTACCGATGGCCTACTGCTCGAGCCAGGAACGCACCTCGCACGGCAGCTCCTGCCCCACCGGGTGCAAAAACGAAATCGAAAAACCCACCTGCGGATCGGACGGGTTCATCTACAGGAGCGAATGCGAACTGAAGTTGCTGAACTGCGGGTAAATACCGACGCGTTGGTGCACCGAGATGGGTACAGTGTTGTGTTGCAGGAACATCAGGCGCGTGACGAAAGTCGACTACGAGAAGTGCCGGGCGAAGGTGTCGAAGTGCCTGAAGATCAAATGCTCCAACGATCGCGATCCCGTTTGCGGCACCGACGCCAGGACCTACACCAACCAGTGCCAGCTCAACCTGGCGACTTGTCTCAAAGGCGTGCAGTTCGCGCACGTCGGAAATTGCACCAAGCTGAAGGAACAACAAGCCTGTCCGGCTAAATGCGACGAGGAATTCGACGAACCCGTTTGCGGATCAGACGGCAATGTCTACAAGTAAGTACTTTGTCTTCTTTTTACTCAGCCCTTTTCCGTCCACTCCAGGAATTAGACCTCTTTCAAGTCTCTCCATGCTTATCTGCAACCACATATTTTCTGCTTGTCACTTGATTTCGTCTAGTCATCTTCTCTGTGGTCTTCAAAGTTTAAATCCTAGTAGCAATTGGAGTTATATTAGGGTATTTTCTATAAAAACAAAAAACGATTTACAAAGAGTTTGTATGAACTTTTCCGGTACTCTTTATGATACACGAGTATTGCTAGAATTCTTGCTAGTTCTGAATCTAAGAGATCACTTACGCTATTCGATCGGCGTCAGGAGATAACATTTTCGTTCGAATTTTAGGTCAATATGTCACTTAAAAAAAGAAACCTGCGGGCAACTAGTCATTGAAGTGCCACTCCACCACTGCAGGACCACCGCGTCTTGTAACGAGCAATGCGCCGAAGATAAAAATTTCGTATGCGGATCGGATAACAAGCTATACAAGAACGAATGCGAAATGAGAAGGACCAATTGCGGGTAAGTGTATTTTAAATTTAGCCTGATTGATAATAGATTTTTGTTTGAAAGATGAAAGCATTGTTCGGTGGATATTTTTTTTAGTAAACACGTTTACGTGGTTCCGATGAAACGGTGCATATCCGGATTTCATTTCAAAGGTTGTCAGAAGATCTGCCCAACTTACTATGACCCGGTTTGCGGAACAGACAATATGACCTACAGTAATACGTGCTTCTTGGAAATCGAAAACTGTCGATCAAGGTCATTGGTTACTTTGAAGAACATGGGCACTTGCAGCGAACCACTTAACGAAATTCCTAAGAATTATCTCTACTAATTATTTTAATTGCGAGGCGAGAGGGGTTTCGTTGCGCAGAGAAGCGTTACTTTATTAACGGGATCATGCCCACCTGCGTGGATACGAATAAAATTAAAAAAAAACAACGGCGATAAATTAAAAAAATCCAAAATTATTAAAAAATAGTACCTACCAGTGACACTACGTTTTATATGAAGGGAAATTAAATGTATCTCTAAAATGAACAGCAAAATAATTTTGTTCTCTTGTATCGAGTAATTAAGTAGTCTAAAACTTGAAGCAATTAAATTTAGTAGCTAGTAATTGTAATGGGTACAAATAATGTACGTATATAAGTATTAGTAAAAATTAAAATTTCATTCAAGATATAAAAAATATGTAAAAATGTATTAGGTTTCTATAGTAGATTCAAGATTCAAGTAGTTTATTGCAGGAAACTGTGAATTTTTATGATTTTTTTAAGATACCCAATTATTCGCATTTAATTTTAACGGTACCAAGTAAAAATAAGTTTCTTACTTTCCTATATTTTCAATGAAAATTTTAACTTTCTCGTAAGTAATAATTATTCTTACTTTTGTGCCAATTTTATCTTATTTTGTAGATTTGTTTATTAATGTTAAGCCAGAAATTGTATTTATTGTAGAAATGATTTAATAATTTATAAAATATTAATGCGGAATTTGTTTCATTTATCAAATGAGCTGTGTTTTTAAATCTTAAGTATTATTTTTAATGTCGTGTAATTCTATTACAAAATAAAATTATATGAAAAACGACCTACCTTTAATTCTCCTACAAAATACTTTAGGGGGGGTAATAAAAAAATCATTTTACTTACATTTACATTTTAATTCGCGATTGTTACAAAATAAATTAATTACATTCGAGCATACAAAATAAAAAATAATTCGAAACAAAGAATGACTTTTCATAATCTCTTAATCAACCTCTTTAGCAGTCAAAAATTCCATCGAATAAATATATAAATATTATCTTAACAGTCTTTATAAATTGTACGTTCGATAAATTTTTCGCAAAGAACACGCCATTTTTACAACATATTTACATTTTACACACGATAAGGCAACAATGTAAAAAGGAAGCAACCGATGCATCACCAGAAATACGAAAATTTTCTGCATTATAGCCTACCTAAACAAGCATTCACACAACATTCACTGCAAAAAAACCGGAGGTAGAGGTACTGCTGATGATAAGACACACATTGCAGGCAATACAAAAAAATTACGACCATAATTCCTCACACCCTCGTATCCAAATCATCGCTAAGCCTATCAATTTCTCCTTTCCTGCGCCCTCCGACTCCCACGAACGAATTAACTTCGGAATCCGATAGACACGAACTCTCGTAATCCGGGCATTTCCTTCTGCAAGGTCGACTCTCCGATCTACCCCTTCGTATTTGCCGGTACAATTCATCCAAATCGCTGACGGACATATTGCTCTGCCCGTCGCCGACGCCCGCCCGCCAGCTCCCGCCTTCATCGTCCAACTCCGCCGCCATTTCGGCGGCGACTTTATCGGACTCGGCGCCCAACGCGGACAACGTTTTCACCGAATTCCCGTAGACGCAATCGGAATTGCGATCGGCCAGCACGCTCAACGGGCTGTTATCTCTGCGAATCGAACGCAACCCTTCGACGACGCCCTCGCGTTTGTTAGACTCCGAACCGGTATCGTCCTGTTCCGAGCTGCACGTCAAATCCCGCTCTCTTCGCTCGCGTCCCAATCGAGCCGGTAACGGATTATCCTCGTTAGCGTCCGGGTCGATGGAAATCGAGTCTACGCGGTGGGATTTGCGAGGTCTATCAGTTTGAACGTTCGTTCTAAAGCCGTTCGTACGCGACTCGCTCGATTTCCCGGCGTCGTTCACTCCTCTGATGGCGTTCTTCCGTTTTTTCTGTCGCTTGAAGAATTTCCTCGCCACGACGCTTTGGTAGGGATTGTAAAACACCTCGGGATTCGTGGGGTTCTCGATGATATTGGGAATGAGGTATTGCGCGCGGTGCAACACCACTAAATTAACCGCGTTGGCCTTGGCGTCTCGGTTATCGCTCAACGATCCGTTTAAATTCAAACCGACGGCGCCTTTGAGCAGATTGCTCTGCCTCGAATTCGACGTTCTGCTGCTGTTGGAGCCCGCTATTCTATTTTCCACGGTGAACTGACGAGGCTCGACGTTCCGAGATTCGAACTCCAATCGTTTGCGCTTCAACCAGCGGGTCAACACCACCCATTGCACGCGCACGTCGCTCCTCGCGACGCAGTAGAAGAACAACGTGAACGCGCTCAATGTCGTCGCCGATAGAGCGAAGATGACGCTGAACAGCTCCCGTTCGAAATGGAACAAGCCGAAGGGGCTTTCGGCGGCGAACGCGGCGCCCAGCCAGCACAGCACGTACACCGACAAAAAGATCCAGTGGGCCTTGAGTTGAGCGGACGGCGAGTGTTCGGGATCCTCCAACTCGCTCAAACTGCTCAAGCTGCGACAGTCGACCGCTCCGACGTTGGAGAAATTCGGTTCTAACAAGTCCAAGTCGACGTGCTCGGTCACTTGGGTGCCCTCGCTCAAACCGCCGTTGGCGTCGTCGTAAATGGAGCACCGAACGAGCAACAAAAATATTATCAACACGACCAAAATCACCGCGCAGGGAACGTAGAGAGCGCTCAGAGCGGGACCTGGTTTGAGGAAGCAATAACTCTCCGATGCGTATTCGTTGATGTTAATCGCCGCAGATAACCCGCACACGATCAAACCCACCCCCCAGCCTACCAAATACAACCCCAATATCGGTTTTCTTACGGTAAAGTCTACATCTTCTTCGTGCGCCACCACCACCCTCTTACTCAATCTCTTGTACATGCAATTCACCCCGACGCACGTCCACAATAGAGAGCACAATGTCAGGTAGTGCAAAATCACTCCTACTACCCTACAAACCCTTAAATCGCCCGTTTGATACACTCCGAACACGTAAAAAAATCCCAATAAGCAAATCACCACCCATGTGTTAATCAACGAATGCTTCGATCTCTTCGGGATCTGTATAGTCGAATAACACAACAAATACGTCACAATAACCACCATTAGAGAGGTAAATAGCACAAAAACCCCTAAGTAAACGGCCGGATGGGGTAGCTTCGATTCGAATCTGCTATCAGAGGCATCCGATCCGGTCACATCTTGCAGTAATCCGTAATAACCAGAACGAGTGCAAGTGAACACAGAATGTTGGTCGACAGTGTGAGAGAAATCGCAACCTTCGGATGTCCAATTCTCAAGGATGGAATCCCACCGGACCGGTACGAACGGGTTAATTTCGTACAGTCGGGTGGCTGGTGTCCTTAGCATTACGTATATGGGTGATGTGAGATTGCTGTCCTCAACGTCAACTAGAAATATCAGAATTTTTTAATTATAAGGAGAAAAATATTATTTTGTTTGACCTCACAATCACGCTTTAAATTCGAGCTTGTAAAGCAAACAAAATCAACGGAGAATGCCACATAATTCGTGCATTAAAATTGAATATAAAAACACCATTTAAGAATTTATAATTACCTAAATGCACTCCAGCAATAGACGACGTAACGTCTTCCTTTCCGTACCTTGCATCGTCTATCGAAAAGAGCTTGCTTGACGAATGCACGGCGACCAGTAAATCCGATAATTTTCCAGTTAAATTCATCCCAAGGAAAAAATGTTCCGGAACCGTTACCGAAGCTTCGGCAACTTTTCCAAGGTAGGTCAAGGCGACTTGTTGGTGAGACGAGCTGCATGAAAACATCGAATCCTTTCTATCCGAAGGATCGACGAATAAAGTGCAAGTTAAACCTGTGAACGAGTCCCTCTCAACTGGGAACACTTCGATGGCCAAATTGTTCTGAAACCGATTAAAACGTTAGATATTTTTCAAAGTATACTCTTTAGAAACTATAGTACTTTACGAAAATCCGTGTGGCCTGAAACTACAGCAATTCTCTCCATCACTCTCACCAACATCCTGGATGTCCCAAACTCGATCTCCGCCCTTCTTAAGTACTCTCCTGGCAATTCCATTAGGCGATCAATAGCCTCCATTAAAATTCCCGCTACAGATCTCTCTCTACCTTCAGGAGCCAAGTCAATGTAACTCTCTATTGTACTTACAGCGTAAAATAAATCCACTGTATCTGCAAATAAGCTTACATTCCACGTATAGTTTCTGAAGTGCTTTGCGCTTTCTTCGATACTCTCCGATACCTCAGAAAACTGCCTGAGAATTCTGGTAGTATCTGAAACGTACGGGCAAGTGGAAGTGTTTAATCCTGCCCATATTCCCGTTTCAGTGCACGTGTACGAGGCTCTTTGCTGGGAAACGTCGTAATTTAAATTCGGGGATTCACAAGGTAAATCTACAGTATGATTGACTACAGTGCGAGGCCAATTGTAAGTGCCTTTGTTGGTTTTCGTTGTACTAATAGGACAGAATCTAGTCGTGTTTGTTATCACAATAACTGATATGCTCTTGGATCGATCGCTGCTGTTACTGCGTATTGAGGAGGATTCGCAATTCCACGTGCCGGTGTGATACTCGCTAAGTTTGGGTAGGAAAAGAGTACTGGAAATTCGACCGGCGCTGCCCAGTAATTCGTTTTCTACTCGGATATCGGAGAAATGAGATTCGGCGTCGACTTGTAGCCAATTCCATCGGATCGTGGTGTCTTCCATCGAGTCCGATATACTGGGTATGTGGCATTGAATGGTCAATGAATCTCCCTCGAAAACGACCTAATTGTGAAGATTAAACGTGTTTAAATTTTTATAGAGGCGTTTTGAATCAAACAAACCTGGCTCTCGTCTGGTTTGAGCTCGATGTAAGACAGACCGGCGTTACCGGCAGGTGATTTGCAATGAATATCATCACCTACTCGCAGTTTTCTAAGAGAACGACCTTCAAAAGTTGAAGGAGAAGCACATTTAGGATTGGATAGTAACTTCACTGAATGTGTTTCGATCCAATCGAGCAGCCACAGAAGACCACAATCACACACCAAAGGATTCATCGATATATCACTGCAATTCAGAATTATTATAGTAATAAAAATGCTATTCGTTTGTGATTTAATTTGCTTACAGTTGTTTGATGTTTTCAAGAGGTACGAAAGTTCCTGTCATTATAGCGCCGATTTGATTACGATTCAATTTTAACTTCTCCAAATGATACAAGTGATCAAAAGCCAGCAAGTCAATGTATTTTATATTGTTCTGTGATAAATCTAGTTTCTTTAAATTTGGCACTTCGTTAAATTGGCCAGCTTTTAATTCAGTTAATTCATTTCTACTCAAGTCCCTGCAAAATATAATCCACAATTAGAACAATGCATTATTAAATCAATTACCCTACGTACAGTTTTTGTAGAACGATTAATTCCACTTTTGGCGAAAAGGAAGACAATCCATTTCCTGATAGATTTCTGCAAAAAATAAACGATAAAGAAGTTATTTAAGTATTTATGAGATAATTTGTACTCACAATTGGATTAATTCGTTAGCTAAATTCAGTAAATTCAGTTCGTCTAAATGGCGTATTTTTTCTGTTTGAACGCAAGACATTTTGAAGAAGCCTCCTTGCGGGTCAGTAGCTTTACAAGAGCATTTTGTTGGGCATTTTTCTTCGACGCCGAAAACACCAAATACAAATACAACAAATGAGATGAATCGAAAAGCCAGCATTGTTGTTTTTGATGATATGTATTATAACTACATTTTACACTTATACATATAATATCTAAAATGTCGGGGTCTTCACCATTTAATTCATAATCGCAGTCGATATCGCACTCGGGCTAATATTAAATAAGATTTTTAATAAAACGAAATAAACATTTTGGCTTAAAACTAAACAATTGTAAAATGTCAACAGTCAAACAAATGCCAATGTCATGTCACAAAAAATATAAGTTTAGGTTCTACTTCTTTTATTTTGGCCTTTCACTGAAAAGGTGTTTGGTTACTTATTGAATAAAATTACGAGCCATAGACAAAATAAAAGACATCTTTCTTTCTCTATGATTACGAGTATCTAATAAATCTTTAATTGGTAACGATTTAAATAAATAAAATAATAATTACTTAGGTATATTATTAATCTAAATACAAAGCAATACATAACTTTAGAGTCTCTTCGGCTTCCTAGGCCTAGGTGGATTCCAAGAAACCGGAGTAGCATCGGTAATTGAAATAATTTCTAAACCAGACATTTGTAAACCCTTGATAGCAGACTAAAAAAAATAATCAATCGACAGAATCTCAAATCAATAAATAATTCAATCTTACCATTCTACCGGGCCCCAATCCCTTTACTTTAACTCTGATAGTCTTGTAGCCTTGCTCACGAGCTTTCTGCAATAAATTTTAAATATGAATAAATAGTGAGTCAATACAAATGAACATATAAAATCTTTAAATTTATGCAGGTTTTGTAATGGACTTACAGTTCCTATAGTTATTGCAGTAGCTTGGGCTGCAATATTAGTTCCTTTTCTTGTATGCTTAAATCCTTCCGAACCACATGACCTAACTATTTTAAAATCACCTGGAATAATTTACAACAAATTATTGTAGTTACTTAATTTCAACTTGATGAAATGGAATAAATAAATTTTACTAGCACGTTTGCTATATTTTCTATTTTTAGCACTCAACCAATTAATAACATACCTTTAGCATCTGTAAGCGCTATTAGAGTGTTGTTTTTAGATACTTTTATATGAAATATAGGTATATCTTTAAAAGGAATTCCATTGAATAATTTGTTAGGAGTCTCCGCTGTTGGAAATAATTCGTGCCTAAAAACGAATTTTAGTGAAACTTAAATTCATGGAATCATGCTAATTTAATCACTTATTCAATCCGTAATCGATTTCAACCGATTTTTCTCCTTGAGTGCCTTCGTCCATGGCAGGGACTGTCTTAAGCATTTCCTTTCTGTTAACGACCTCTCTTAATTTCGAACTGGTCGTACATATTGGTCTCGCGATGTTTAAACTGTTAGTTGATATAACTAGCTTACTAAATACACTAAATAATTGTTTGGAAGCCATTCCAAATATTATTTTTCTTATGTTATAAAATCACACAACCACAATTCTTATTTAAAAATTAAATAGTAAGGTTATGTACGTAATAATTAGACACTTCTATGCCTTTTACTTGTTGTTTATATGTTTGATTTCTTCTAAACAATAAAGAAGAGCCGTATGTCTTAATAAAAGAGACCAATTATAATAATAGAGAAGAAGAATTTGCCATTTTCTGCTTGCTTTCAAGAATGAAAATTGTAAATTCGGCAAAGATCAAAATTTATCACATAATATTGTTTAATATCAAATTTATGAATTATTCTAATTAGATAACAACTTAACATTGTTTTAGTTTATTTTAAAGATATAAAAATGACTTCGATAATAAAAGTACAAGCCTTATCCGGCGCCAAAGATGAATCTCCCCCTTGTTACCTGTTACAGGTTGACGATGTTAGAATTCTTTTAGATTGTGGTTGGGATGAAAAATTTGATATGGAATTCATAAAAGAACTAAAGAGGTACAATATTAACAATACCAGGATTTGCAACTATTTAATTAATTCATATTTTAGGCATGTACATACAATAGATGCAGTGTTAATTTCTTACCCGGATAACAATCATTTAGGAGCTCTACCTTATGCCGTGGGTAAATTAGGTTTAAATTGTCCAATATACGCTACTATACCAGTATACAAAATGGGTCAGATGTTTATGTACGATCTCTACCAATCCCAGTACAATATGAAAGAATTTTGCATATTTTCCCTTGATGATGTCGATGCTACGTTCGAAAAGGTTGTTCAATTAAAATATAACCAAACAGTTCCCTTAAAAGGTAATCATACAATTTTTTTTCGAACATCATATTTAATTAACTGATTTTCTTTGATTAGGTAAAGGATATGGCATAACCGTTACACCATTACCTGCCGGTCACATGATTGGAGGAACCATTTGGAAGATAATGAAAGTAGGCGAAGAAGATATTGTATACTGCAACGATTTTAATCACAAAAAAGAAAGGCATTTGAACGGTTGCGAACTAAAGAAACTTCAAAGGCCATCGTTACTCATAACAGATGCATTCAATGCTACATATCAACAGGCCAGACGAAGGGCGAGAGATGAAAAATTAATGAGTAAGTTGTTTGTATTTTTCTAATAGTCTCTTATCTTCATTTGTAATAATTTCAGCAAATATTCTCCAGACTTTACGAAACCACGGGAACGTTCTGATAGCTGTAGACACTGCTGGTAGAGTGCTGGAATTGGCTCACATGTTAGATCAACTGTGGAGAAACAAGGAATCAGGACTTTTGGCTTATTCATTGGCTTTTTTGAACAATGTCAGTTATAATGTAGTCGAATTTGCCAAGTCACAAATAGAATGGATGAGCGATAATCTAATGAGAAGTTTTGAAGGAGCCAGAAATAATCCATTCCAGTTCAAATATTTGCAGCTATGCCACAGTTTAGGGGAACTAAGCAAAGTACCCAGTCCGAAAGTGGTGCTGGCTAGTTCGCCAGATTTGGAGAGTGGATTTTCCAGGGAATTGTTCTTGCAGTGGTGTTCTAATCCAAATAACAGTATTATATTAACTACAAGGTATTAAATTACATTTCATATAACTTAGGTAAGGGGTAATTTATCTCGTTAACTTCAGGACCTCACCTGGAACTTTAGCCAGGGATTTAATTGACAACGGAGGAGGAAGAAACATAGACTTGATAGTAGAGCGAAGGGTTAAATTAGAAGGAGCAGAACTTGATGATTATGAAAGGCGTCAACGATCTAAATATGACAAATTAGAAGATGAGTATGTCTTCTAAAATCATCGATTTTCGTTCACCTTCACTATATTAAATCCTTTTCGCAGGGAGGCCGATTCTGATTCAGATTCCGATATTGAAATGTCAGTCACCTCTAAAGGCAAACATGACATTGTTATCAAACAAGAAGGCAAAATATCCACAGGATTTTTTAAAGTCACCAAAAAGATGTACCCCATGTATCCTTTCAAGGAAGATAAAATAAAGTCCGATGAATACGGCGAAATTGTAAAAGCAGAGGATTACAAATTAGCTGAAATTTCAGCCGAAACCGAAGATAATAAAGAAAATATAGTGATTAAAAAAGAAGAAGAGGAAATAAGTAAGTATTATTCATTCATAAACGATCTAATTTGATAAATCGTAATTATTTTTAGCTGAAATTACTGAACAACCAACCAAATGTATAATTCTCCAACGAACCGTTCAAGTGAGTTGTCAAGTTCAGTACATCGATTTCGAAGGTAGATCAGACGGGGAATCGTTGATGAAGATTTTAACGCAACTGAAACCGAGAAGAGTGATTGTGGTGCATGGGACCGAAGAAAATACGTCCGTTATAGAAAAACATTGCTTGGATAATTTGGAAGCTAGAGTTTTCACACCATCCAGAGGCGAAATAATCGATGCCACTAGCGAAACGCACATTTATCAGGTTCAAATGAAATTGGAACATCACGTTTCGAGTATATCAATTGGTTTGTTACTATTTTTAGGTGAGGCTGACGGACGCCTTGGTTTCACAACTGAGTTTTCAGAAAGCTAAAGAAGCTGAAGTTGCTTGGCTGGGAGCTCATATAGTGCTCAGAGAAAGCCAAGCTGATGCTAAAAGGATGAATTTGGACAATGAAGAAATGGAAGGTAATTAACTAGGTTCTAGCATCTCCAAATTTTGTACATGTGCAATACAAAGTTGTTTTATTTTCAGTGGAAGAAGAAGATACGAGAATCCTAACGCTTGAGCCATTGCCGGAAAGTATTCCGCACGATCCTGTTTTCATAAATGAAGTTAAACTTGCCGAGTTCAAACAAGTTTTAGGGAGAAATAATATAAATTCTGAATTCTCCGGCGGCACCTTGTGGTGTTCCAATGGCTCAATAGCAGTGAGAAAGGTAAATAATCTGCATGTTTATACGTTTTTGTATAAAGCTCCTTTAAATTTTAGGTTGAGAACGGCAAAATAATGTTGGAGGGTTGTATATCCGAAGATTATTATAAGGTTAAAGAATTGTTGTACGAACAGTACGCTATTTTATAGTTTTGTAAATTTGTTCAATTTATTTTTATGCAAATTATACAAAACGTCTAATTTATAAGTTCTTAAAAGTCGCAAACTTGTAATTATAATACAAATATTTTTTTTATATTACTTCAATTTAAAATGTAATTCATCTGTAAATTTATTTTACACGTTTCAATATATTTTCACGTTCATGTCGTGCACGATTTATTCCATTTTTGTACCATTCGTTAATATGGGTTTTAGATAAAACAGATTCGCCTTAAGATTTGGAACGATTGCACGAAATTCCGTTCAAAACCCAAAATATGAGACAAACTCTTTGTTCATTATTTTTATCTATTGCAAAATTCGCAGAGTACTACTGAGATGAACTGATTCGATCAGCTATTACAACCAAACTGATTAAGTAATCTATTTAATTTTTTGCTTGCTAATTAAGAACAGAGAACCTACATACAGAAACTTGGAATAGTTAAAAATATTAAGTGCAGGTAATTTAAATTAGATTTTCCGGGTTCTTTTTTGTCAGTAGGTTTTCTTAGGAGCCTGCTTTCTTATTGCTCGATTGAAGATATATGATAATATGAAGATGATTTGAACTCCAAGAAAATACTAAACACCTCTACACATGTTGCATTATTCAATATTAGCTATAATGTATACAATTAGATGACTACCAACAGCAACAACTCATCTGTTACTAATTATGAAAATAATCAACTGTAAACTAGACTCATTCACGTTGATACATAATTTATAAAACGCGTGCTATCGCCGAATTTGGCGTACTCAATAATTCGACGAGATCGAAAAACCTAACATAAAGAAGCATCTATAAATAATTCTTTCGCTCCAACAATTGAACTACTGCAACCGTGCGAGCGATTTCAATTTGCTTATTTTACAATTTTCACCATTCGGATCTAGCCGGCGTCGACGTGAGTGCGAGAGAGATGCAGGAGGCGTGCAACGGAGACGGCACGACACGTGCAACGCCCGCTCGATTGTCGACTGTCGTGCGCCCCCACTATTTCATTCAATTTCATTCATTCACAGGTCGACTATCAGGACGTTGCTAGCCGAAGTCCGTTATCTTTTTTTTAATTTTTTTGATTCGCGTCGTGTAGTGTTTGTGACGAAGTAGCGTGAATTGGCAAGACAGATAAAAGTGCTCCGGTAACGCACCTGTGGGATACATACAGCACGGGAAACATAGATGAAACGTAAGTTCTTATTTTTGTGGTCTTTTATTTTTAGAGGTTATGTTGAGTTTCAATTCAGCTGTGTTTATGTTACCGATAACCAAACAATTTCGTGAAGTATAATGTGGATTTCCATCGGTTATTTATAACTATAAATCGTTATTTATTGAATGACTAATCGGTTATCATCCGAATTAAATCGGTACGTAAAAATCGTTTTGCATAGAAATTTTCGTTTAATACAGATGCCAATTTTGCGTGATTTATTTGTTTGTGATTGTATACCGATGGAGCCCACGTTTTGAAACAGTTTTTCTTCGAATTGGTTGGTTGCCAATCAATTTATTTACTATTTTTATAATTCCATATTTAAAAAAAAGTTACAGAATCTATTGTAATTTGCATTTTCGAGCATGTTTACATTTTAAATGCGTACATTTTCGAGTACAGCACCGTACTTGACCCTTTTACTTTTAAGAGTAAGAGCTTTTAATATCAATTTCCATTTTGATATCTTCATGATGCAGTTTAGATAACTAATTTCTTAATCTAGACTTTAACCTTCTCTATATTGTATCTGCAAGAAAGAATAATATAAAATGGAATATAGAATGTAAAATAAATTCGATAAATTGCATGTCACATATGTAACAAATGTAATTGATTGCTTTTTTTGATAAAATGGTTTTGATAAACCTCTTAAATAAAAGCTAAAAATAAATACATAATCACATACTGTAAAATGGTAAGTACGTTCCTTAATAAGTACTTTCTTTTGTACCTGTTCTGAACCTTAAATATCTAATCCACTCATAATTAACTGATGAACAACTATAATATTATGATAAATTCGCTATACAAGTTTTACTTGTGTTTTTACCTTATCAATATGTTATAATATCAATTGCTTTTATTAATTATTACACCTTATTGCTTAGGCATATGTAGGTTATATTGCGACTCTTTGAATATTGTTTAACTAATAGAAGTTCTATCTACTTGCAATAATAAATTGATATCTTCACATTTTCCACAAAATTGTCTTGATCACAATCAAAATGTTTAATCAGTATAGGAAATTTATTATGGAAGTAGGTACAAATTATCTAATGAATGGTATGTTTAATGAAGCATTAGTAAATAACGAATCATTAACAGTTTATTCGCTGATGAAATTATAGGGAATTTGTAGTCTAAACTTTTCTTTTAACAGATAAGTATTTATAGAGATTTAATATTACTCGTATTTATTTATTTATTTATTTATTTATTGACCAAAGTAATTCTCTGCATCAATAATTTAATTCTTAGTAGGCATTGATGTTGTTTATATAAAGAGTTATTTTTGATATGTAACAAGATTCTTAGGTGGATTGTTGGTCTGATACATAGGTTGATAGATCATATAAATTATAATTTCATCATTAAATTTCCAATTGACAGTATAGATATAGATCTTATCTTAAACAAAAAGTGTATCGACGTTTTTTTAATAGATATCTAGGTATTCCCTTGAATAATACATTTTTACTACTTTTTCTTAAAGTGATGTGAGGACTGTTTAATTGAATTTATCTACCTTCCTATAAATATGTTTGTTGATACTCCATACTCCAATAAAGAATTAATTGAATACCTACAATTTATATAATATTCATTTATTCTGACAATCTGGCAACGTCGTCAATCTGAACACCCACCGAATCTAATAAGAAGTATAGGGGGATGTGTGACCCGATTGTAGCGGTCTGCAGGCCACCTGTTACATATTGAAAGATCCAGCACCCACCGTTCGCATTTTATCATATTGGGTTACAGATTTTTAAATCTTTTGACGTGTTTTTCTGCTCGGTTCACATACGTATAATGTTTCTTAATGAAATTAAAACCTAATTTACCCGCTTTTCTACGAATGAGGGAGCGCTATTTTATGTAAGTTTGTGTTAAAAACGTTTATCGATATGTTATTTTCTTAATTATGTTATAATTATTATAGTTTTCGTAGAATGATGAAATATGCATTGAGTTGTATACAGCTAGGTGCATAAAAGTTTGCAATATGGTAATTTCTATGAGTTGAAGAAAGAAAGAAAATTAAAATAAGTGTCTATAATGGAAGTTGTCAGTTGTCTCTGTTGCACTCAATTTTTGTTAATATGTAAATGTCTATTATCCAAGAATTTGTTATATTAATTGAATTAATTTTAAATCAATTAGACTTTTATTTAGGTATTATATTCCTCAGCCGTTATATTTTTAATATTTTTATATTAACATTAAAATACTGTATCCTGCAGATTTTGACGCAATATGGTAAATTCAATGTGCTGAACAAAGAAATAATAAGTTAATTACACCAATCACAATGTTTAGATTTTGAAAAACTTGCTTCAGTAGATTTCTATATCTTTAACGCTTCCGACATCTTGAAGCTGATAAGAATATTTTTGTAAATCCGCGTTAAAGAGTGTTTAATTACAATTTCAGCGGATGTTATGTAACGTAAACTTTGCTACAGTAAATATGAGAGGAACCCGTTCCAATTTCTTCTGCGCGAGATTTACTATGGAAACATGAAAAACTTGGAATATCCGTTAATTTCACATAATTTCAATTTGCGAGCCACATCACTAATTTAAAAATAAATCGTACCTGATTGATCGGAAATTGAAAATAGTTTTTTGATGTAGGTACTCGGTACATAAATATAGGTAGGTATAAAATTATTGTTTTTAGTTTATCATAAAGTTTATATGTTTATAAACTAGTTAATAATAGGGATTAGGAACTTATCTTGCTTTTACACTGGGTAACATCGATTTTTACCCATTTATGCTCTTACTGCATATTTTGGTTTAATACCTACTCTAAAATCTTCAAATTTTTTCTAGGGGGTCTTCAGTCAATAGAAAGATTGACTTTTGTTGTTTTAAGTTTGTTCTACTATTTGATGTTGAATATAACGTATTTAAAATACTACACATACCACTTAGTCATAAATGTGATAAGATATATAGTGATCAAATATAATGAACGACGTTGCAAACAAAATAATTTGGCAATAAATTAATGATTGAATACTGAACAACTGCAATAGTTCAAATAATTGTTAACGAAATATTTGTTTTTAAATTTATTTGCTATGCTTTGAATAGTTATTGAGAAAAAAATAATACATGAACATGATTTATAAAGCCAGGCAATAGGGGTTAATTATTAAACGGTCATTTAGAGAAGCACTTAGCAGTTTTTTTGGCTAATGTATTTTAAGGCAAGTCCTCATTACTAACATGGTGATATTTCCACTGTAATTTTAACCATAGTCCTTATTGTAATTAGATTAGTTTATGAGAGATGATTTAGTCAATTTTCTCTTTCAGATGGTAATGGAATTATTTGACAACTCCTTCGAGTACGATCTCGAAGATGAGGACTTCTACGAGAGCCCTCCTCTCAAGAAGACCAGCCAGAAGAAGGTCACTTTTAGCGAACACTTCAAGAAGCATTTAAGAGTAAGTATTTTTAGTATCCACTAATAGCTTATTTTGAAAATTGCCTTTTGTTCAATTTAGATTTTTTCGTAAAAATTTTATAACTATTTTACACACTATTTTCTATTATTTCTAAAAAAATATTGTGCAATGCTATATAGGTTAGATACATCTGTAGAGGAAAATTCTATAATCAATTCTTAAACCAGCTTAAAATATCATTACGTGAGTGACGTGCATTAATGACGTGTATTCAAAAATACACTTTCCTTCTAATTACATTTTTAATTATGTCGTCCACTACAATAAAAAATATACCAACCGGTCCTCGTAAGGGAATCCTTATAAGTTCACTTGTCGTGAATTTTCCCTTCTTCTGGCGGTAATTAACATTCAGGTAAGGTTGCTCCTTTGAATCGAACCAAAGGACTTCCTGTACGAAATTTAAATAATAAAACTAAAGCTCGTATAATCTTTTAGAAACTTTTATCAGTTCTGAGAATTATTTTAAATGCAACATAAATGCAAAAGTATGCTAAGGAAGTTGTATAGAAATGATACGGAGAATTATTCATCGTCATCCCGGAAAACTTTGATTTGTTTAATGCCATTTTTGAAGGGGAATGTAAAAATAACCCCCCAACTTAAGCTTGTTAAAATACGCACGAGCTAACAAAAAAGGTTACACGCTCATTTTCCAACTTCTTTTTGACATATTTTTTTTTTCGTTTTAAATTCGACTTGACACCTGAAATACGTTTCGGAGCCTTCATCATAATTACATAACGAGTATTTTAGACATCCGGTATTTAAAAAAAAAGAAACGTCGACGCGCAATCACGGAGCAACGTAGCGAGTTTCCTGTTTCGTATTTACGTCCTCCTTAATAGAGCCATTTTTTTTGTTTCGATGTATCATATAATCTTGATTGATTTCTAACCCTGCCCCTTGAAAGGGTTGCTTTTTTCGGTGATTTAATTATAGGATTCCCATTTTTCACTATCACCGAATATACCACGTAGCAAACCTATATCTATAAAAGTAAAGAGTTAAATTTTTTAAAGGTTGGTCAATATTTTTCAAATTTCCACTCATGTGATACAAAGTAGACGAAATTCAAATAACATTTCAAATTGTTTATCTCGATTCCATTAATTTTGGACTTTGTTTTTGAAGTTAACATAAAAACTGGTTGTGCGTTGCATTTAAAATAACGCACTTAACAATGGTAATATATGGTAAATAATTGTATTATTTCAATTTAATAACGTATTGAAGAGTCATTAGAACGAAATGAACATTTGATAGATTTTAAAGGTATTAGATATTCTTCATAGAGCGTTTATTTAAATGATGTGGAGTTGTTATTTTCTTAAAAGATTGATTACTACGGTGTATGTAAATTTCAAAATCCTATTGACAAAAAGTAAAGTAACAATTCAATGAGAAGATGCGTTGCAATGTTCTAATAAATAATCCACTGGGCGTGTTTCATTTACGACGCCGCCGTTTTAAATCTCCGACCAGTTTTGAGACGTAATAAGGACGAGCTGCTCCGGAAACAAATCAGGTAAATGCGCTAAGTCTCCTTCGAATCGATACTTTTGATGTTGACAATTTAACGATCGTTTTCTCGAAAGAACGGGACGCGTTTCCTGTATTTTTAACGCTAACGCTCAAATAATCTCCTGTTCTTCGGACCAAAATAGCGTTATAAATAAGCTCCTAGGCCATTTTTCATTCGAGCGTGAATATTATTAGTTTTTTAAATGTGCATACTTTCACCGGAGTTTAAATTATCTTTTCAAAATTAGTTAGGGCTATTTGAAAAGCAAAACTTTTCATATTTTCGTCAGCAAGGCAAAGTTGTCTAAGCAAAACAATACCTGTTCTGTTAAAAAAAATCATTGACTACCTACTCACATGCAGTATGCAGAGTGGTCTTATGTAACGATTTTAATATACGTAACAATCAATTGAATTTAAAAAACGGGTCTTATTTCTATATTTTGCACCATTTGTAATACTTCTGTTACAATGTTCCTTTCAACACAAATAGTTTTTAATGGAAAACTCTAAAGTAAACAATAAAAAAACAAACACTCAAAGAAACGAAAATACCTTTGATTCAGCTCTGTTATGTAATAAATCTTCATAAAAGGGCATTAAAGCGCTCTTTTTTCTGATATTTGTTAAAAATAACACCCCCTATTTACGCTCGATTTACGAACATTTGTTTATCCTATTTCGTTCGTTTCGTGTCTTTGCATCGTCGGATTATTTAAGTAAAAAAACCGGAGATTTATTAGTTACCTTCATTAAAACTAAAAGGATTTTCGGGAGGCTGTTATTTTTCGTTTAACTATAATGAATTGGCCATTTGGTTCGAAAATACGCGCTTTAACTTATCTTTTACTTTGATATTTGAAGAAGTCAGTATTCTAGAAATGGGTAAACATTGGGTAGAATGTATACAGCTGTCACTCGTAAGGTAACTTGTTCTCTTGCGGTCTTTTTTTGCCCGATTTGGAACTTATAGTACGGGCGATTAGTTACAAAAAGGTTTGTACAGAATTCCTTTAAGTATTATCAATTTCATTTATAAACTCAGATAATTAACTTTAAAATCCAATCGATTTATAAAATATACACTATCATGTACATGTATACAAAATATATTTTTTGTTTATATAATTTTGGCCGTGAATTATTTTTTTTAATTTCGTGCGGTTTTGACTTTGAAATTGTTTTCAAATACTATTAGATTAAATAAACTAATCCTTTCTCGATATAAGTATCAAAATATTTATAAATCGCGCGGCTATAAGTACTTACCTAGGTACATATGTATTAAAAATATTTTTCGGACATAGAAATGTATGCGAAGTCATGCAGTGTTGGTAAGCACCCTAACTTGATTATCAAGTCAAATTAATATGGTTTACCTACTGAACAATTCTCAATTGTAACTAATAAAATTTTCCAAATTTGCAGTGTAATTTCAGGGAATAGGCGCTTTATTAAAAAAACGTAAGAATTGTGTGACCGATTGTCCCCGGACTAAACAAAGAAAAAATATTACATCGCAATCGAGTCGATGTTGAGGCCGTCCATCGTGTGTCCGTTCCATTCTGGCTTTCTGCAATATGTGTCGCCCCTCTTTCGCTCTTGGCTCAAGTTCAAACAACTTTTCGCGTCTATTTCTGGAGCCCTATGCCGTCGCTCGAGCTCACCGTTATTGCGGCGCTCCTTTCTTTCCGTCGTCTATCGCGAATGCCGGACAAACGAAGAACAACCATCACACGACTCTTAAACACCCGCAAAGAACATCAGAAACCACCCCGTTCGTCCCCATGAAAACTATTAGTTTTCCGAATGAAATATGATACAATACCTGAACGATTTGTTGAAGTGCGAAGAGGCGTTTGATTGGAATATACCTCTAACCTATAGTACCTTTAAGTGGATGCAAAAGTCTAATCTTTCCTTCATTAATTTCCGAAGTCTTACTTTTGTTTGTTTCTCCCTTACCTGCTTCACTTCTTTTTAATTCTTCATGTATGGATGAATTTTTATCTATTAAATTTTGGTAGTATAATTTTACATTTGTTTAGTTTTGTTTGTTAGTGTTTTAATTATTTAAATTCCCAGGTATTTTTTGAAACACGCGGTGTAGTTAAAATACAACAGCGGAATGTAAACGAGCGTGGAAGAATTGCGTTATCGTTTCAGGTAGATTATCGATTTGGTTGTTTTTCCGTCGTCATCAAATTGCATAGCATAAATAGAATATGAGACGTTGACAAATTGATATTGTATATTTATAAAGTGTGCAAGTAACAATGAGAATGAGGCTTCGTGCATGATGCACTATTCGGGAGTTGTTGTTGATGCAGAATCGCATCCTATTAATCATCCCTCCAAATAGGCGGCCATAATATGACCTCTCCCATCCTCTACATTTCGAATTTTTGAAGATCTAAAAAGTTTATTTCTTATCGATGTTTTAGAGGCATTAGGGCTAAGGTTGGGTATGAGTTATTAATGAGAAATCGTACTGATTTTATTCGATAGACGTTGTGTCACACAGGGTGTAAGTATACGTCCTACGATCGTCAGCCGAGCAAGTCGATCTTAAACAGAACACCAAACGCCTCTTCTTATCGCATTCAATTCACCGCTTTGGCGTTTTCGGGCCCACTCTCGTGCATTGCATACGCGTCCTTCCAACGTAAATTCAGCCGCGACTGGTCGACTCAGCGTTTCATGCTTATGAATAAATTGTTTATTGTTTATTTATGTATTCTATTGGTGTCGTTCTGGCTCTGACATGGGTTTCGTTTCGTTCGGAAAAAATCGACAGGTCTATTAATAAAACGGTTCTTTATTTTTAAAACTGTTTTTGAATTTAACGACGTGTATTATTGCAGCGATCATTGTGTTTTGATATTAACATTAACCACCCTGTATATAAGCGGTTATTTGGTGCAAGTCAATTTGTTTTGAACGTTGAGGGATCATTCCCACGCATCTCCGTTTTATAAACGTTGTAAATTCAATGGATAGCCCGAAAAACTAATTAACTAATGAACGTTTTAATTGTCAGCATCTACATAAAAATAAATTAGAGTGCGTGTTTTTAATGTCGAAAACTACTCGATCCAATTTGCATATAACGTTTTAACATTTTTTTTATTTCATCGTAAATCTACCATTTATAAAAAATAAATAAACGATAAAGAACAATATTGTGATTTTTTTATTATTTTACATTTCTTAAAAAAATACAAAAATAAAAAGTCTGGAATTTGTCCCACTATTTTGTATTCTGCCCCACCCATAATGTTTTAAATTTATAATAATTGAATTATTTTTTAAATTTTATTTTGACTTAATATGAATTTAAATTAATTATTATTACTGACAAGAGTGACAAGTGATAAGCTGATTGTATTTATTATGATATATCTAATGATAAAATACTTTATTGTATTTTCTAATTCTGAGGATAACAAAATGTAGATATTATTACTGCTGCATTGATATTTCATTAATGAAAAACCGTTCCTATATAGATATAAAAAAATGTAGTAAATACATAATGAATAAACGCGAAGAAATAGTGAATGAAATGTTCGATAGAACATTTGTAATTCTGATCGAATGCGTGATGAATGAATAAAATCCCATTTCATTCGTTGGCGATAACGAGTTTAATTCAATTTAAAAATCCGAATAAATAATAATAATGGATCGCCGTGAGTAATAAAATAAAAATGATGGACTAATATCAATATTTTCTGTTTGATAAGGACGACGTTGAAAGCAATTAAAGAAAATGTCTTTCGTTGGACAAATTATTTTAATTGCATTTCAGGAATAATCAATACCACTTAGGTGTATAACCGGTTTTTTTTCTTTTTTTTTGATAAAACATCATCGACACTAAATTGGTTTCAAATTAAAAGAAACGCTTGTTCTAATTTAATGAATGATTCGGAATTTTTTTATTAATTACCCATTATAATAAGCTCTATTTCAATAAATGATACGCAGTTGATAAACATTACACCAAGATAAGTGTACAGGAGTGCGTTTAAAACATTAACTTTGTTGTAGAAATTTCGTTTTTTATTTGAGATATTTTTACTTTTTTAGTTGCTCCTCTTATACGTTAGTACACATAGTTTTCTTATTTCCTTCCTCTCAATTTGTAAATAAGGTTTCTTCATATTTATATTTTGAATGCAAATGTTCCAAGCAATTTTCATTTGCTTTGTTGCAATTCAATCCTGCATGTCGATTACATTCCGGTGAGCATTTCACAGAAGAATTGAAATTAATAAAGTCTATTCACTTCATCGGTGCAATATTTCATCGTGAACTTCCAATGCAATCGAACGCGTCTTGTATACAAATAGAAAATAATGCTCGATCTTTCGAGTCGCGTACAGGAGGCAGAACGGACGATGGATGAATGAAGGAGTTATAGGGTGGGCAGCGAGTCGTATAAATAGAATAGAGATATTTTATGAATGATTATTTCAAAACCGAGTGGACGTGACCTTGTATGTTAAAAGTATCTAGACGTACAAATGCTGCCTGAAGACTTATCGACTGCAACAACGACTCTTTCCAATGAATAAACTCTGTGAAAATAAGAGAATGAGAAGCAATTAGAATTAGTTTCGTGTTTGTTATTTTTATACGGTTGAACTGGAACATTTCTGTTTTAGTTGTTAATTTTCTGTATTTTATATTCTTTGTCATTTTAGTATATTCTCAAAAATTCAAAATGAATTTTTTATTACATTTGTTGGTTTATGACTGTGTTTACTTCCCCGTTATTATTTCAGCTGGATAAAAGAAGGGTGAATGAATTATTTTATTGCCTCATATACAATTCTATTGATTCAATTGGATTGAATCTCTACAGGAGTTCTATCAATCGATTAATTTAAGTTAAAAGGATATAATTGTATTACCGCCGATGTATATATTAATAGATATGTATCAACATATACAGATAAGAGCAAATTTGTTTGCAATATGAGATGAACAAAGATTGTTATTAAAATAACAGTGGTTAGAATGAGAAAGTTGCAATCCCACAATATGACTCTCTGGTTGACTTCTGACTCTCTATATTATGAGAGTTATCTTTTTTGCACCCATAGACCAAAATTCGTACAAATCTGCACTTATCTGTAGAGTTAATTAGATATTCTCTTTACGCATATATGAAGAGAAAAAAATCAATATTCCTTAAATTATGCAGAAGAAAATTTCGGCTATTTTAATAACAATTTACTGTTATATTTTTAGCATTCAGACGATGGAGAATACTTGACACCGTTTTCCATTATGAAACAAGAAATCCTGGATGAATCCGACGAAGATCAGCCGCCTAAGGCCCTCGGATCTATCCAGAAAGTGCCTTCAATCAGCGATTTGTCTGATCCAGAAGCGTCTTTGGGTAAGTCTTTTTTCTCTCAACCGCAACGTCTAAAACAATAAAAAAAACGGAAAATCGTGAACTGATACCGACGAATTAACTTAAAATAATTAGTACATACTCCGTAAACGGGGTACGATTCGAGACTTCCGATTTTATAAGTAATCCCGCGTATTAAATGTCATATTTTTTAACGAGGCCCTAAATGAAATAAAATCCGTAACGAAGCTAACAAAGGAAGAACGCCGGAAGTGGTGTATCTTTTCCAACCCACATTGCATTAACGAATTCATTAGAAAGGTAGACAAAGTTTATTTAATTTTTTAACTAGTATAATTGCGGCGATGGAACAAGATTTTATTAACGAGATAAAACTCGCCAAGAGCGTTTAAGAAAAACTGGTCAAATGTGAATTCGAGGGAGACACCTTTCCAATGCACGAATGGTCTATTTGAGTATGTACTCTATTTATTCTAATGAATTTAATTTCCATTTTCTTTTTTTTTTCCTCGAAAAAATGCGACCTGTTTTCGTAATGACAAGTTAATAAAAATGTGGGGAACGGAGGGAGCGTGCGTAAACAATTCTGAAAAACTAATGAGGATGTCACAGTTTATACCATTTACATGTGATTATAATAATGTAACCGGCAATGTGCACAGTTGTATGTACTTACTATTCATGCATGTGCATGTTCATGTTTTTCCATTAAGTTTGGAAAAATATTGGAAATGAAAAACAAATATCTACGTACATATAGTAAAATCGTATTTCATATTTCTGTAATATCCAGGCGTATTCGTTAAGGTTTTTATATGACTTATTGCGGATTTCTTATTAAATAAAATTATGTTTAAATTTATTTGCTTGTTCGAAGGCCTTTAGCAATAATTGACAAATTATTATTTTTATCTTACAAAAAAGTAAAAAAATGCAATTCCTGACCTAATCTAGATAACATTAAATTGTTGTTTTCACTTTATTTTATTTACATTTCGTTTTTTTCTCGTTTGTATCATGAAATTGCGCAATAAAATATAATACAATACAATAAAAGAGTATTATCTCGCACACTTTGATAAGTAATTTATGAAAGCCTTCGATTGTAGTTTATTTGTAATTAAATAATATGTATGTACACATTACAAAATTTTCTGAGTTATTGTTTTTATAGGCGTAATTAGTTTGTTGCTTTACGCCAAATTTGCAGTAATTGCATCTAATTCTTAGAAATTGAAAAATATTCAATTTTGTATTTGCGCGCCACCTACATGCCCATTATAGAACCACCGGTTCTGGTAGATAGTTACCTGCTTTCTGCAATACTTCGTTGTTATAAACACTAATAGATGGCGCTAGTTGTTTCATTATATTATTTTATTGTTATTCAAATTAAATAAATTTATAATTTTGCAGAATACTTAAAGAATATTCATTAAGTTCTGGTCATCTTTATGAGAAAAATGCCTGTTTTTGTTTAATTAACCAACATCTATTCTATTCTTATTATTTTTAAATGATATTGCATAATGGGCTATCGTGAACAAAATGAAACTTATTAAATTATAACTTATGAAAAGTAAAACTGAAATTGTAAGGGGAAATTTTTTATTAAATACTATCAAAATTATAGATATCCTTTTTCTAATTATATCATCCGACGATTTCTACTGAATACACCTATATCTTTCATTTTTAACCTTTTAATTAAAAAACAGCTACTTGTTAAAAATATATCGCCCTTGGCGTTATTATCAGAAACACACTACTATATGTCTTTACGGTTAGGTGACTGACCGTTCATAAATAAAAAATGAAATAAAAATCAGTGGCGTTTCTAATCTTTACATCAGTTGGTTAATAATTTATTATTACCTACAAATGAAACATTAAACTGTTTCAAACATTTTACTGCGTAAATGTTTTAATGAATTTATGCAAACCCTTAAGAATTCTAAAACTCATTTTCATAATCAAAAAAAATCGCAGTAAAATATTTAAATCCGCGCATTTAAATATTGCTCTATTTACAAACAATAAAAAACCGTAATAGAGCAATGGGAGTTCAAAAATAAAAGCTGAAAGTGTCTCTAAGGTCTTAATTTAGTAAGTAATTAAAACGAATTAAAATATTTGCATAATTCATGGTGATTGAACATATTTTTAAAATTCAGGCTAATTTAATCCCAATAATCGTTTTATCAAATAGTTCCTTTTTTTTTCATTATTGGAGGTCTCAATTGTATAAAATTGTTATTAATCTTGATTTCTTTCTTAAGTTCAGATTAAAATCCGTTGGGTTAATCGATTGCCTAAATTAATTTGTTTCAATTAATCCGTTACGCCTATGTTTTCGCCTTAGGGCTACCGATTTACAACTCGACTATCTTCTATGGAGTACTCAACATGAAACTTTTACACATATTACTTATCCGCCGTTGGCCTCTCTCTCGGTCTCTCGATCGCCCATTAAAGCGCTCAGTGCAAAAAAGGATGCGAGACGAGACTTTGAGGCCATTATTGACGATGCATGAGACAGGTGGCGCTGAAACGAGATTTAAGGCCTTTTATTGCTCTTTTTACCGGATTGAACTCGTTTAAGGTTAAGGCTTTTCCATTTGTTGAATTATATTCCGAGATTACTGATGCTTTTCTCGCTTTGCTTTTGTACTCAATATTTTGGATAGTCCAGTTAAAACGTACGTTTATTAAATCTTTATTAAAGTCACTGTATGTTCGATATTAGACCGATGAGAATTTTATGAAAGAGAATTTCTAGTTAATTGTCTAAAAAACGTTACCTTGATTGCATTTCGAACGGCCACTCAAGAAGACTCGAACTGTGGAAGGTAAAATGGACAACGCTGTTCGTAAATTGATGTTTCCTCAGATACCAAATCATGGAAAGCCTCTCGTTTCGGTTCAGCAGTAAAAGCAATTTTAAGTTAATTAGAGTAACGTAAAGTAATTAACCCACGTTTAATGTATAGTATCAAGAGAGTAAAAATAAACTCTTCGCTTTTGACTTTGCGTTTACTGATGGTTTATGGAATAGGAGAAAATAGGAGTTTAATGCGTCCGGTCGGCGACTGAAAAAAAAGTCACAAAAATATATTTACTACCTAAAGGAAAACATTCACCGAGAATCTCATGTCTAATTTTATCTAATTCACTTTCTTTCACATGATTAATAATTCATTTTATTACTGGAAACATCTCATTATACAACTATTCTACTACATTTCAACTTCATCCGAAATTTAATTCCTCGATCCGTTAATAGAATTACACAATAAACCACGATTAATAAGGTAGGCGCCTCCGATAAAAAAAACCTTCCCAGGACCCGGATCGAATTGGCCGTTAAAAACAAGTAGATGTCTTCGATGGACTGTATAATAAATTGCCTATCGAAAATATTGTAATTAAAAAAACGGTACATATGCTACCTTGACATCCAGCGAGAGAAAGACAAGCAAGTCCAGCACCACAGTGGCGTAACATGATATTTTCATTAACCAACACGCTTTAATGAGATTAGCGTCAACTTTTGGAAGTATTACCAAGCAATGAAATCCTCTTCTGCAGCATATCTATGATAACTATTATCTCCAACTGCCCTTTAGAAGGGAAAAACCTCGAGGTCGCGCTCATCTAGTGCCCCAGGTGGTTGGAAACAGGTTCGTTGCTCGGAGCAGCGCAGTGCCCTGACGTCACAGGCGAGCCACGCGACCGTTCATTCATGATTCTCCACGTCCCCTCCAACCCGCCAGCTCATGTGGTACAGGAGAAAGAAAAAGTGGATCTAGATTTTGTCGTTGCCTTCGAAACGGAGATCTGTTTTAACAGTGTAGGCCAGAGGCGCGCCAATCGAAGTGGTACAATTTCCCCGATTCGAGTTATAGGTCAATAATCAATACAATCGATTTTTTCTCACGATATATCACTAAGCTAATATTTACGTTGTATAGGAAAACTGAATCGATCAATTTCCATCCGAACTCGACAGTTAATAAATCAGGTGGTTGCTTGAATAAACCTGTTATTAGATCTTCAGCAACGGCAACGAATCTCCCTGCAGGATGCTGATGTTTTCATTTTATTCTAACGTTGTACCGTTACGCGGTGTTCGTGTGTAAAAAAAAGAAGAATATGTAATATCTGACAACACAATTAACTGCTTTTTTACGACCACTGGCTACTGTTCGTCGATTCTCGCCGGGACGCTTTTAGGTTACCATACGATTATTATTATAGTAATGGACGTAAAAAAAAACGAGTTTCTTCGAATTGTAATTCCGAAATCGTTATTCGGTTCTGAATGTTCCAATATGACTTTAAATTAGCCGAATTTAAATAATAGGAAGTTAATAGTTTTGAAATAACTTTTGAATAGAGCCATAAGATTACTTATAGGTGAATTAAATAAATAACCTCTTCAAATTAACTTCTTACAATCTTAATATCCCTATTTTTTATTTCTTTCTTCTAACCAATATTTTATTTTTAATAAAATTCTATAAAATCCATATTTTTACCAGAAGAAAGAAATCGAAACTCGCAACTTATTAACAACCGATAAATAGATACGATTTATAAAAAAATAATCCGTTCATATAAGTATTCATACAGCAGGCGTGTAATTTCGAATGGTGCCCTAAGGGCCCGTTCGTAGTAGGTAGGTGAACTGACCCCGTAGAATACCTGTTCATTCATAGAGATCGTGGGAATCTCGTCAGCTAAATACATACGTACGTGAAGGTGGTATCGATTTTCTCTTTTTTACGCCCGCTTAGCGGGATCCACCTGTCTTTATCTATGTTGTGCAAGCAGGTCCGGATTATCAACTTATATATCCAATCCGGAACGTACGAACTCACGTAGGAAAGATCCTGTGGAATTTGTTAATACTGAATAATCAAAATTCGGAAGTTTTTTGAAATTACTGTGGTATATAGCTCTAACACACTAAATTCATTAGCAGGAATGTTTATATGAGGATTAAATTATTCAGGGTATGC